ATTCATCTCCAGAAGTGATAGTATCCTAATAAAAGTGATGGCTTAATATAATAAGTAAGTTTTGAGTGCGTTGAAATATGTTGATGAAAAATAATACTCTAAAGAAGTAGGGTTGTAGTAGTAATAGTTCAAGTATTTGTTGTGCTTTCGATAAGTATTTTTTCTGATGTGAAGCGCATGAGGGTAAAATTTTTACGAAACGGCACGAAAATGTGCAGCGTTTTTGTCAAAGAAAAGAGGGAGAGAGCGATTGAGACTTGAACACCGATGGTGTTTTTAATACATATCAATATCATTATTATTTTATTATGGGAAAAAAATTACCATTTTTTTTTTTTGTTGGTTTTGGACCTTTTGCTAAGACCCAGTTGGCTATTTTACAAAATGTGGACATTAGTAAGCAATTATGATAGTTATTTCTTATATTATTGAACTAATTTTAGCTCTGGTTTTTAATTAGCCTTGGTATCATTTAATAATATAGAAAGACTGGGAAAATTAAATTATGGGATTTGCACAGCTTAATTACTCAATAATTAATCTACAAAGAAGTTTCACTTTTGACATGTGTACTTTGTACTCACGCACTATTTATTCGTATAATTGACACAGACTAGAATATTTATTTATTTATTTAGTTAATAAGCTTGCGACATCACGCACAGTACTGGATCTGCTAATTGTTTTACAAAGTCTTACATCTTAAGTGTGTGACAGTTGATGTAAACATTAGTTTTACAAAAAAATATATAAATTATAAAAGTACAATTAAAACATATACGAATATCAATTTCACATGATAAATTCACTATTGTGAATATAAAGAGATCATAATGGACTTAGTTTGGTAAAATCTTTTATTGTGATCTTAAAAAAGATCACAGTAGTTTCAATTATGTAGGACTTTATTGTGAATATAAAGATATCTCAAAGGATTTAGTTATGTAAACTATATTGTGAATATGGGTAGTTTACATAACTAAATCTAATATCACAATGCATTTAGTTATATAAACTTTATTTTGAAAATAAAAATATCACAATAGATATAGTTGTATAAACTTTATTGTGAATATTAAGAGATCACAATAGATATAGTTATATAAACTTTATTGTGAATATTAAGAGATCACAATAGATATAGTTATATAAACTTTATTGTAAATATTAAGAGATCACAATAGATATAGTAATGTAAACTTTATTGTAAATATAAAGAGATCACAATAGATATAGTAATGTAAACTTTATTGTAAATATAAAGATATCACAATAGATTTAGTCATATAAACTTTATTGTGAATATTAAAGAGATCACAATGCATTTAGTTATGTTAACTTTATTTTAAATATAAAGATATAAAACAGATTTAGTTATGTTAACATTATTGTGAATTTTAAAGATCACAATGCATAAAAAGATCACAATACATTTAGTTACGTAAACTTTATTTTAAATGTAAAGAGATAAAACAGATTTACTTATGTAAACTTTTATTGTGAATTTAATGAGATCACAATGCATTTAGTTATGTAAACTTTATTGTGAATATAAAGAGATCACAATACATTTAGTAATGTAAACTTTTATTTTAAATGTAAAAGAGATAAAACAGATTTACTTATGTAAACTTTATTGTGAATTTTAAAAGATCACAATGCATTTAGTTATGTTAACTTTATTTTAAATGTAAAGAGATAAAACAGATTTACTTATGTAAACTTTATTGTGAATTTAATGAGATCACAATGCATTTAGTTATGTAAACTTTATTGTGAATATAAAGAGATCACAATACATTTAGTAATGTAAACTTTATTTTTAAATGTAAAGAGATAAAACAGATTTACTTATGTAAACTTTATTGTGAATTTAAAAAGATCACAATGCATTTAGTTATGTTAACTTTATTTTAAATGTAAAGAGATAAAACAGATTTATTTATGTAAACTTTATTGTGAATAAAAAGAGATCACAAAACAGATTCAGTTATGTAAACTTTATGGTGAATTTAAAGAGACCACAATGCATTTAGTGATTGAACTTTTATTTTATAAAGAGATCAAAAGATTTAGTCATGTAAACTATATTGTGAACATAAAAAGATCTCAAAAGATTTAGTCATGTAAACTATATTGTGAACATAAAAAGATCTCAAAAGATTTAGTTATGTATGTATGTAAGACTATTGTGAATGTAAAGAGGTCACAGTAGATTTGGATGTGTCCGACTATTGTGAATGTAAAGAGGTCACAGTAGATTTGGATGTGTCCGACTATTGTGAATGTAAAGAGGTCACAGTAGATTTGGATATGTAAGACTATTGTGAATGTAAAGAGGTCACAGTAGATTTTGATATGTAAGACTATTGTGAATATGAAGAGGTCACAGTAGACTTGGATATGTAAGACTATTGTTAATTATTGATGACTTGATATTTTAAAAGAGTACCGAGAGTTTTTTACGCCGGCTTTTTCTCTCGGCCTACACCCCATGTCTTCTTTGCCGATGAATAGGGATTTCTACCGATACATATTTAATGACGTGAAATAGGTGATACCTGTATCTTTTATTCCATTATAAATAAACATAAATTAAATTTAGGTTCAATTTAACTAAAGAGATGTAATTCAAGAATGAAAGTTAAAAGATACATAGAATTAATTTTTGTTTCTGTTTTGAGTTGTAATTTACAAAGCATTGTTTTTGTTTTCTCTTTTTTGCGAGACGCAAACATTGTCAGGAAAGGCCGACTGTTAGCTTTTATTATTTATTTAATAATATTCTAAATAATTTATGAAACATATTCTTTTGCTACAAGTGCGCATGTGCAATAATTACTCATTGCCTCGTTCGGTTATTCACGAAATGTTACGAATTGACTCGAATAACTGCCCGAAGTGGGAAGGTCGAGTCAGAGTGGGGACGAGAGCATAAAACATCTGGTAACACATCGCACAGGCCATTCCTTTGTTCAAGTTGGTGTTTTGTACATTTTACGTAGGGTCAGTGTGTGAAATATAGTAAATCAAGTCATCATTGGAGTGTTTAATTTCCTACCCTAAGAACCAGATCAACTAGCCCTAACAATTTTATCTTTTATTAAATATGAATAACTTATTTTGTCTGCATAAATCAGAGCTTTATTATTTTTATATAAAAAGTAAAACTACATATAAGATTACTAAAGTCGACGCATTTTAATGTTGGGCAATGTCACCGACAGTAGGAATGTCCAATGCAACCCGTTATCAATTCCTGCGCACGCACTCCTTATTGGTCGTTACTTGTAAGGGTTGTTTTTCTACAAACATAAAAAATTTTGTTATGACTATTACCCTCATTACATTACTTAAGGTGCGCTTACACGAGGGCAATAATTGCTCGGCGACACGAATGGACCGATCTGGAGCAATTTCAATAAATTATTTCGGCGATATTGCTTCTAATTGCTCCAGATATTTCATATAGCTCAATGTCGCAGATATGAATATCCAATGGACTTGGAAATTCCTAGCAATTTTTGTATATGTCTCATTCGCACTTGTTTGTTTTGCGGCTTGCCGTCTTGCTTCCGCGGGGAGAGCGAGAGGTCTAAATAATAATAATTTCTAATTACATTATTCAAAAGTAATTCAGTCTGTTCGTGACATTCTAGTAAATGTTTTGAATAATATATCATCTTTACATAATAAAAATTTTGTCCTCTTTGCTAAAAACGATCGCACCCAGATACGCCTATTCCTTTTCTTTCTTTTTTGTTTTTGATTAATGATAAAAAAAGCGCTACAAACCGCCGCAGCAAGAACAATGTCGTCCATAGCAAGCGAAAACTGAAATGCTCGTGTATGACAGTATTGCCTAGTTGATGAAGTTGCGCCATATCGCTCAATATTGTATTGCGCAGTATTGATGCTTGTTGCCGTTGCCGTAAATTGCTTGATGTAGTCGTGACGTCATAATTGACGAGTATTGACTGGAATTGAGCAATTTTAGTTGCCCGTGTAAGCGCACCTTTATGCTTCGTTAAGCGATACGCACAATGGATAATGAAATTTATTTTCTAACGTGGTTTTGAAGAAATTAAATGCTGGCATTTATCTTTTATTTTCAGATAGAGAAAAATTATTCCTATTACTACTTAACATAATAATATAAATCGTATCGTACCTATCCCGTTATCCATATGCACATCTCCACAAGACCTGAAGATGTGCATATGGATAATGGGAGTGCGAGTGAGACAGACAGATAAATATGATTTATGACCCGAAGCCTCAGTGCATAATGCGTCGACTACCTACAGCTATGTTAAAGATGATCATCAGATATAAATTCAACCTAAATACGTCATCTAAGGTGCTCTTACTTCTTTATTTTTTACATTTGTACAGAAAATTCCAGAAAGTTGCTTGGTATCAGACTTGTTATTAACTGTTACACTTTTATGAGAGAATTTTTTAAAGGATTTATTTCATTTATAATATTATGTAAATTATAGTATATTAGTGTTATAATCTAAAAACTATTTTAGTCTATAAAAAATAAGTTTGCATATAAGAGATGCTTGTTTCGACAAAGCCACACATAAAACTAGCATTTACAAGTTTTTAAGATATCTCGTATGACCAATATAGACCAAGAACATTTATCAGCTACTTCTTTTTATTTTGGTTGAAGTCCATTAACTACATTCTTAACATAACTCTATGCAATAAAAAAAAGTTCGAGGCTACATTCAATTAATTTTTTAATAACATAAGAGAGATAGGTACTTATTAAAAGTACTAATTTGAATGAAAAAATTACAATGTAATTAGGAGACTGAAACCAAATACATTTAATTTCACATGAATTATATAATAATAAAAAAATATAGCCAAAAAATGTTGCTATTGCAGTAACCATTTTATAAGTTGTCTCTTGATAGCTTAATAATAATTATTACAACTTCTATAGCCAACTAGATCTGCAAATGACTATATTATTCTTAGTATTATTAATTCCTGCGTCGTCCACGTCCACGCCCTCTAGTGATACGCTTTGATGGAGAATTTTCGTCTTCTGACATTACTTCGCTTTTTATTTCGATTTGTCCATCTGTTATTGTATTTTCTTCAACTTTTATTTTAGATTCTGGCTGTTCATCAGCATCTTCCTTTTCTACGTCCTTTTCGTTTATCTCGGCTGAGGAATCTTTATCTAGAAGCAAAATAATAAATTAATAGGAGTATTAATAATTTGTTCAACATAATAAATCTTAACGAATAAATACTATATGTATCAAGTTTTTATGCGTTATGCAAAATATAAGCTAATATAGGATACTAGACAAAAAATAAAACCAAAATAGAAAAACACAAATTTTCAGCCACAGAATTAAGCCAAATACGCAAAAATATAATGCGGCAGTTTGTAGTATATTACAATAGCTATTATAATATAATAAGATTTTGTTTTTGATAATTCGGATTAATTCTTTTTGATAATTCGGGTTCAAACTATACTAATTATTTAAAACTTGTTTTTGTCAGTGTCAGTCATAGTGCGAAAATAAAATATTCTCACCATCGCCGACTTCCTGAAGTAGCTCGTCAACACTCTGGACCCAGTCTTCGAGATCGTCGGCTTTTGGTGATTCCGACTCGCCAATAGCCTCTCCCTCCATGTCGACGTCATCAGCTTTCTCCTCTATAAAAAAGATTTGGGTACTAAATAAATGTTATAATTATAAAAGTTAGCTTCAACGGACTTGTATTGGTTTAAGGCAAAACGCGATGTCCTTTAGTATAGGAATATTTATTTCCAATGTTCTTATATGTTAAAAATCTCTTTATTTCTCAATTTAATGACATACACTTAGCCAGAAATTTTAATTCTTACTTAAATTATCAAATTGTAAGGAATTACAGAAATGTCATATGTCAAGTTTATTTCTATTTATGTCATTTTACGTATAGTCTTACCTTTGACACTAGCAGCGTTATGACCATTCTCAGCTGCTTCTTCGGAATCGTTTGGCTCTGGAGAGGTCTTACGACGCTTCCAGTTGCCGGATTCCTCTATGTTGTGAGGACGCTTAAATGGCTCGCGGGTTTCTATAGTCTGCTGAAAAAGTAAATTTTTAGTGTTTTATTTACATTAGTATAAAATATATACATTATACAACACTATTTTTCTGCAAAAATTGTGAAATACATAAACACTTGACATCTGAATTGAATTACATTTTCTTATATTCCGTACCTTGTTTGTTTAACTACTATAACTACTATCTTATGGGTGATTGTAGAGTAACAATCACCCAAAACATTCTCAACTATATTGCTAATGGTGTAAACATTCAAACTGAAATACTCTTATTACAGTTTTAAAATACATATTTTTTTAAAATGTATAAAATATTACACAAGTAGAAGAGGCAAAAGAAAGATAAGTTATGATTAAACTATGTTGCAGTATGAAGAATTGGGAATCAATACTATATTTTACTCACCTCTTTACCACTCTTCTCATTTAGTAACCTCACAAAAAGCTGGTGGTGCCTCCAAGTACGAAGATGTACTTCAGCTGTTTCCTCTGAGTCAAGGAGCTTCTTGCAGAGTTGGCATTGGAAGCATTTGAATTCAGAAAGGAATGAACGTCCCACGCCGCGTTCAGTGCTGGAATTCGAAATAATACATAATGATTTGTTATTAAGCCTGCCTATTGGTTGCATCCAAGAAGCTAATACTCAGTTTTTCCAGGCTTGTAGTTGGGTGATCTTTTGAGTTATTCAAACTGACACATTATTAGCATTTTCTTAAGAGTAAAAAAGAACCGAAGTTGGTTGGTTGTATGTTTGTGTTTAGCTACCCAACTTATTTTACTATGGTTTCCTGAGGAATCAAACAGCTCTCTGACGAAGAAAGAAAGACAAAAATAATAACGCATTGGCGAGATCCATAAAGCTATGGAGACAATTGTATATATTTTGCCGTGGCACTTACCTATAAACAGGGTATTTGTCATCAGTTATGTTAGTAAGATCTTCACCCTCTGTGTAGTCTAGAATTGTGCCCTCCTTATCAATGCTTTCTTTCACTTTGACTTCTTCATCTGCCTTTTCTTCGTCACCATCTACCTTTTCTTCATCACCATCTACCTTTTCTTTTTCCTGTTAAGTTTATGTTACATGAAAACTTAAAAAACAAGGTTTGAACCATTGAGTTAATTAAGTATTTATCAGCTTAACAAACAGATTTTTTACCGATTAACTAGATAATTTGTGGCAATTTGGACATTATTTTTAGTAATTGTTGTAAATGTACCTGTCCTTCTTCTACTTCTTTTTCTGCCTTATTTTTTCCCTTGTCCCCCATATGCTTCCGATTGCGCTGGCGATCTCTATCGTCACGGAGGTATTGTTGCTCTGCTTGCAGGTTCGAAATCATCATTACTGAAATATATTTTTTTTAAAAGAATAGCTATATTAAATGTGTAAATGATTAAGGGTCATAATTTAGCTGTATATGTAGCAATGTAACCTAGGACAAAAAAAAACTGTATTCCATTCAACCCATTACATGATCGTCCTTGCATCTAGTGGTCTCATTGTCAGCTTTCACTGCAATAACGGCTTCTTTCGGTTCTTGAATATCCCATGATCCAACCAATGCCACTCCAAAGAAAAATCTATGTTTAGACGCATCATTCTAGTAACTTTATTTCTATACTCTCCTGTTGCACCTTCAGCATTGTAGTATTTGAATTTTAGGTTTTGACTTTATAATTATGTATCTCATTAATGAAAATAAGAGATTGTTAGCGTTCATTCTGTCTTTCTTTTTTTATTGCACTTTCACTTGTCTCACTCATCGCAAGAATTCATATATGACTATCCTGTACGATGCTGCTAGATAGATACGATACGATGAATAGTTCAGTAGATCTTTTAATGCCGAGCCGGCGTCGGCATTGGAAACATGAATCGCAGCGTCATGCCGTTGCAGCCCGCTACAAGAGATGTTTAACCGTCGGAAAAGGTTCACGATATATCTTTGACTATAAATTAATTCCTCGTACTATAAAAATCTATTTTCCCTAGTTACTTTATCCTAATCAGCCTGGCACTCATCTTATTTACTCAAAACTTTTCCTAAACTTGAAGTTTTTGTCGGAATGTTATAATTAGCATAAAAGCAACATTACGTTTTTTTAAGTATACTGTTTTGAAGGACATTATCGGTAATAATATCAATGTTCTCAAAGAGTGTAAATAAAATACGTCACACATGTACAGACGTCCGCATCTTTTTGAAAACTTCGCAAACACCATAATATGAGGTTTTCTGTTCTCTTCTATTAGTAATTGTTTAGTTGTAACAATTCACAATTTCTAAGAAATTATTTTTTTCTAATTGTCTATTATAAATAGTACTGGCCAGTTTTCAGGTCACTTAGTCTTGACAATTGTTTTACTTGGCCATCAGTGCTAATAAAGCCTTACCTGAATCGCCAGCCTCAAAGCGGCGTTGTGCGTCTCTACATAGAATATTGCATCGATTGCGAATCTGTCTGTATTCTTCCCCAAGCACTTCAGATTTGTTTGCCTGGTAATTGGCTTTTAAAATCTTTTTCTTCTCTAATAATAACTTAATATCGTCCGTAAGCCATGGAGCTGGATGGATTTTCTTTTTGTTACCTGTCAAAAAGATACCCTCCAGCTTGCTTTTAAAATATTATTCCAAAATAATTTCGTTCAAGTTTGAACACGCAAATTAGGGCGATTCAAATAGGTTACTAGCAGAATAAATATAGGTATAAAAAGATATGTTTTAATTCCGACAGAAAATAAAAGCACAAAATAAATTATTGCACATTAAATAAATGGCAAAAAATGTAGAAATAAACTCAAATTAAAAATACATTATGCTTTGGCTTATAAAAGAACTCATTAACGACAAACATAGGTTTTATTATTTATGAAAAAATGGACAGCTTACCTTCAGGTTTCAGCTTTCCACTGACATCTTGCTTGTCCTGTATCATCCTTAGATGTTCCGGAGTCAAACGGTGCTCATCCAGCTCAATTCTAGTAGGCATTTCCTTATGACAGGCAGTGCAAGTGGGGTGTAGATATTTCTTCAGCTTGCGGTGGCCGACAGTGGTGCGATGACCAGATCCATCAGCTGCATACATATCACACATCGCACAGTAGAAGTCGCGCGTCGGTTGCTGCCCCGATTTACGGTTGCGTTTCATGTCGCGAATCTGTATATATGTTACAGTATATAAATTACTATTTATTTTTCTTTTAATAATTGGTATAAACTGCTCCATGTTTGTAAATTATAGTTGGGTATAAATAACTAAATTATTTATCCCTTTACAACAACAGATTATTATTACATAATAAGTACCTTAAACTCCTGCCTCATAGTATCTGCAGTCAAGGCATAGCTCTCAACTGTCTTTTGCATCATGATGGAGTGAGCCCGCCCACTTAGGTGATTTTCAAAAGATCTTCCATCCCACATACTCTTGTTACAGATATGGCACCTCAATAGTTGCTGATTAATATCATCATATCTGGTCTTTTGACTGTCTTTCTTCTCTTCTTGCTTGTCTTCCACTTTTTCAGTACCATCAGACTTCTCCTTTTCTTGTTCACTATATAAAACTTTAGTATTTTAAATATGTTCAGGAACCTTGATTTAAGTTTCTGAGTAAGTGACATTTAATAATGTTGTATTATATCCAATAATCAAAGTTAATCATCACAGAATCCAAATCTCAACAAGCATATAATCTGTGTGCTCTTTGCATACAGAGGTAAAACAGATTTGTCACTTACACAGAATTTTTTTTTAGACTAGTTTAGCTTATAAAATATTAAAAATGTTAATCTTGTACACTTGTGAACTTTGTAAATTATGCCTCATATAACAGTTTGAAGAAAATAATATACATTAAAAATGTTAATTATATGACCACTTCCCTAATATGAAGAATGCATTTTACAAAATTTATGGGCATTAAAATTTTGAGTATCAAAAAGTCCTGAAAAAACAATGATTATACAAAAGAGTTTCATTTAACAGAAACCATTTTAACAGTTATTCTGTGAAGACATTTGAGTATCCAACAAAAGATATGCCTCAGAAGTAGTCTCCGAAAAGGAAACATGGTAATACTCCGGTGAACGTTGAAGTCGTGAATAATTTAGTTTGGAATTGAAAGTCGGTGTTATCACCGGAAGGAAACTTGGGTTCCTTACCTCTCCTTGGGTTTATTTTTAGAGTCGGCATCCTTTTTCGGGGAACTCTTGTTTTGTTGCCTTTGCCCATCATTGGGCCTGAATGGCTTACGATTGCTGTTCATACGCTCACCAGAGCGGTTGTAATTTCCCGTTCGCCGGAAATTACCTTGATTGCCCATCTGAATGGAATTGAGATTCCAAGTTAGTAAGAATAGCAAGCCACTGTGGGCTATAGAATAAAAAAGTAGAGACATGGTTGACAAAGCTGCTTGAAAACCTGTGTAGAAACTTGCAAAACCATTTAGATTAGTTTAACATTAAGCATTAGACAGTTTAAACTTAAGACTATAAATAAATACCCATAATTAAGGGTAAGGCAAAATACTATTATTGATTTAAAATCAAATACTATACAAGAACTTAGGTTTCACACACTGAACATTACCCAAAGTCTGAAGTTTTGTAAAACCTATATATCCAATAATAGTTAGTAGATCAGACCAAATGGACTTACCCGATTAGGTGGGTATCCACGATCAAACCGTCCCATAGGTGGACCAAAGTCACGACGAATAGGCATGTCAAGTAAAGACGGGACAGAGTTTTGACGGGGCTGAAGAAGATTGATGATGTTGCTCGCCAAGGCAAGAGTAGCTTCAGTTGAGCCACCAGTTATAGGTAACAAATTGGGAATATCATTGCCTGGTGCTCCCCCCTGCCATGGTGACACGCCGGGGCGAAAGTTCTTTCCTCGATCGTTTCGCATGAAGTCCATACGTCGTCCACTGGGAGGAGGTCTTCGGTTGGCCATTTTAGCTGTAACGTGTTATTTACGTGGATGACGCAGACATTATTTAAAAGCTAAATCGATATTTTTAAATTAGTTCGAAATTAATGTTTGGAAAATCCAATCAATACTAATTACGATGTTATAAAACTACGGGTTCAAACAATAACTGTACCATTCATTTCACACATTAGTCAACAACCCAAAAATTATGTACTTACGTTTAAGACTTAATTACAAATAAAGGTTTGAACAAGAACAAGATTAATATGTTCTCATGAAACGCAAAACGTAACAGTATTAAATTATAGATTCGATTGCTGGCGAGAGCGACGCCGAAAAGAAATTACAGTATTCAAAATGGTCGCCGGCGGCTGCCGCGAGCAGTGTTGCCAACAATAATTTTTAAATAGGTAGTCGAAGTAGAAAAAAAACTATGAAAAAAAGAAAAGTTTTATAGGTCTACCAGAACCTGATGGCAAAATAAAGTTTAAAAATTAGCGATTTTCATGTGGCAACAAAAAAAATTTTCATCTGTCATTTGAAATTTCGAGGAATTGTTTTTGGTTTGGCTTCAAATTTCCTTTAACGCCTTTAGTACACCTACGCGTTCGTATGCGGCTGCGAATCTTTGCGAAATAACGCCTTTAGTACACCTACGCGTTCGTATGCGGCTGCGAATCTTTGCGAAATAATTGCGGAACTCGTAGAAATACCCGCGAAATATCTGCGGAACGTTAGTACACTGCAGGTTTTTCGCAAGGATATGTCATTGTAGCTTTCGTGTGCTGTAGGTGCAGACGTCGTTTCAGAACGTCATCTGAGTCGTCCCAGTCGTCGCTTTCAGATTCTGAAGAGGATTTTGTAATCAACATGCCCAACTAAATATAATTCGGGATAATTTCGAATCAAATTCAATAATAATTCAATATTTTCGGCTTCCATTGAGCGAAATTCTGTCCTCACTGACAGAACTCGTGGTGACGCCTTGCGATGCGAAACTCCAGTAGCGAAACGTCTGCGTCTGTGTAACAGCCATTTCGCAGTTACTTGCGAAACAATACCGACAAGGACGCAACTATTTCATCTAGCTATATATTAGAGCGAGACAAAACACATGCGAAACGTTGCCATACAACTTACAGTTTTTTCGTCGTTTCGCTGCCGCATGCGATTGCGTAGGTGTACTAAAGGCGTAAAATGTGGTGAAAATGTCGAAGAAACCTGATTTAGAATTGAAAAAAAAAAACTAAATATCAGATAGATGAGATTTTTAAAACACACGGCCACGAAGTCTTGATGCTTCCACCATATCATTGTACGTTAAACCCCATAGAATTAATCTGGGGAATAATGAAACAAAAACTTGCGGGTAAAAACGTCAATATACCTGCAAGTGATATAAAATTTTTAACAGAGAAGAGATTTAAGAAACTTACTCTTAAGTAGGGATCGATGAATGGTAGAAATCTTGTGAACATGTAATAAAAATTGAAAATCAGTTCATAGAACAAGATCAGTTAATTGAGATGCAGGAGGATAGGTTATTATTAAATACTGCGTATTCCTCTTCATATGAAGACTTTTTTATGGACGTGCAGTATTTGGAACCATTTTCAAGTTCTTCATTATATTACGTCCGTTATATTATGACAGTTGTACCTTTAGCTCAAAAACACACAACAAATCCCATCACATAAGTTGAGTCGGATAATACTCATGTTGCACTTTACTAACTAATTGCAAAGCTTTTGCGAGAGCTTGTAGCAAAACTCGGTTTTATCAAGATAAAATGTTGCTCGTTCATAAAAAATCTCTCCATTTAATAATATATTTCTGTACCACTTCAAGCGCGCCGCAGACCGCCTAAAAAGTTGATTTTAGTCTATTCATATTTAAACAGTGACGAGTCTCATGAGCCAAATGTATGGAGTTTAAAAAACTTTCATATACTTTCACATACTTTCACATCTACTTTAAGTAATGATATCGCAGCAATTCAGTACTCAGCCTTAGTTCTACAGCGAGCACAAACTTAAACCTAAAGGTGGGAACTGACCAACGTTACGAGGTGTTATGTAACACGTTACACAGCGAGCATTCGTGCAGTCAGTACGTCGTGTTACGGGGAATGCTACATTACACCTCGTAACTTTGGTCAGTTCCCACCTTAAGAGAAGTAATTAGACAAATAAAAAGTCTATAGTGAATAGGTACTTTATTATTGTCACATTGTGTCTGCGAGACAACCTTTGGCGCTAAACAGAAACAACGATATACAACATCACATGACATTTATATAAAGCTTATTATATCGTTTACATCTAAACAACATTGGGTATGGTTTAGTTAACATGAGCAAAAACACACATCATGCGCTGTAATATAAATCTTAAAACTACATTGTATATAATTGAGTAACTAAAAAGGAAGCATGTATTTTTTAACAGTTAAAGAGTATTCATTAATTGCCTAATCTCATGTGGCGTAGGAGCTGATAGTTATGGGCAGGTATAAAAAACCTAGCGGCGTTATAACCGCGGTTTTGGTATATTTCGTAAGGCGATCAGCTTTCTATGCCTGACACGCGCCGTTTTTTTAGGCCAATACTGCTCATACTAATTAAACATTTTTTTTTCATATTCCTTGATACTGATATCGAGTATGACATTTCGCATTACGGTCATTTGTTTTAAGTAATAAGTAAAACACATTATGTATAGTTTTCTCTGGCCTACTTAAAGATACTCAATTATACCGTTATTAACTTATTAGAAAAAACTTATAACGATTCCACGATCTTTGCAACTACAACGCTTTGTAAGCCGAATATTTATGAAATAAAAACCTTAATTACTTTGGAATGTCATGTATGACAGTATGTATTTACAAAATAAACAAATATTGCAATTTGTTTATTATAAAAGCAAAAAAAACGATATTCCAAAATACTTTAATGGAATGTAAAATTAAACACAGCCATTTTGTTATAAATGATAAATAACCTTAGGAGGTACTTATTTGTCACTAAGATGTAGTCACAGAGCTAAGTAAAAAAATTTATGATATCTGTATTATCTACTCGATTACTTTATAAAAGCTATAAATTTCTAGTAAAAATATTGTCCAACATTAGAAAGTAGAAAATGGAGAAAACAAGACTTATTTAATATATAATTATAATTGGCGCGCGAACGAACCATGTTAACGCGAATTTGCTAAATCCAGTTTTTTAACACAAACCATATTTTATAGGTTTTGTTACGAAATTTCGTAGTCTTTTTTCAACTAAATGTAAAAATTTAGTTGAATTTCACGTTAACAAAAATTTTAAAGCTATAATCGTCTTTTAAGCCAATCATCTTAGATTATTATATAATATAGACAAAGATACAACATTGAGGCTTATATTCAGAGATATGTCTAAGCGCGAACGAATTGTCATAGCTGTCAAAGTCATGCGGCATAGACAATAGATGAAAATATCATTCGCATTTAAGGTGGAAACATACTACTAAAACGCCACGCGACGCAACGTGTCGACACCCGATGTCCATCGTGCACATTACCAACACGCGACACCACGACACACTTGCAAATTCAGAAGTCATTTAGCTGACAATTGACATTTGTGCCAAAAACTCGAACGTTTGACGCTTGGCGTCAACAACACGACAACACGCCGATCCAAATCGATTGGATGTTACCGCGTGTGATCACATGGCGTGTTGTCTATGTGCATCTGACCATATTAAATATATTGGATTGATAAGTACTGACATGCGTCGGATGGCGTGGTGTAGCGTCGCGTTTTGGTAGTATGTTTCCGCCTTTAAACTCGGGTGAAACTAAATCGCTACACACTCGTGATTGGTACAGATTATGAAGAACTTCATAATTCTATAACAAATCCAGAACTGTAAATTCTGAATTAAGAGAAAATCTGAATATTATTATTATATAAATTATTATAAAAGCTTAAACAAAATATACTTTAAACTTGCCGTGTGTACATTTTTTATCAGAATTATCATCATTGCATACTTAAAGCTTTTTCCTTAATAATTTTCATGAACTCCAGCTTTATTGATCAGATTTATTTAAAAAAAAATGTTCTCAAACCTAATTCAACTTAAAGCTATGATATTCATTGACATGTTTATAAAAAATCAGATCTCTGTAATTCGAACTATATATAGTTCATTCCCAGATTATCATGATAATTTTTACCATCTCTTGGTAGATATATTTTTAAGCCAATACAAATAAAGCGTTTCAACACTACTTATGACTATGAATTTCAGGTTTTGATCCCATTTCTGTACCATTGGGATTTATCGTGTTTTATTACAATAAAATAATATATCGTAGAGTAAGAACACGTAGCTTATTGTGGCTGTCAGTCCGATATGTAGGCTGTGCTTGATTACTGAAACAAAGGACAAGATTATTACTTATTTTAAAATAATACCGCTTTCACTAGATTCGACTCGTGTATTTATCGAATTTCCCGTTATTTTGAATTTGAGTTTGAGTGTCAAAACGTGTTGACGGGTCATTCATCAATTTATATAATTTATTAATTTGAATAAATTCGCGTAAACCAACCTTTGTTTTTGGTCGCACCGATAATGTTAACTTCTGTATTAAACGCGTTGCTGCATCTGAAATGATGAATTTTGTAAGTATTTATTTACACTTCGTTACCTTTTACAAAAACATACATATAAAAAATAGGTTACATACGTTGTTAGGCATGTATGTATGTAGTATAGTCATAAACTATGTCGATATCAAGTACGAGTATATTTCAAATTACGGAACATGGAGTCTATTCATAATACTTTAATGCAAATTACTTGTTTTTTTTTTTCAAATCTTTTCCAATCAAATAACATTAAAAAGGAAGTTGTAAAAGCAAGATTGATTTAGATACAAAGTTTAAAAATTAACGATTTTTCGCTTTCCGTTTATATTCTTAAACTTTTCAACCATTGACCTTTTTGGAAACAAAATTTATTACGAATCACAGTTATAATTAAAGTATAAGTATTACATACAAAAATTTTACAGAGATTTTAAAATCTGATACATTCTAAAACACGTGGAACCTTAAAAAAATAAGACTACTTTAATAGCGAGCATTATGTGGCTGACACATAGAGTAGATTTTTTGACATGCAGGTGTCCTTACATTCACTAAATTGCGCAAAAAAAAATACTCAATTACACGTTTGATATGTCCCACTAATGGCCATAGGCCTCCTCTCTTAGGCGTGATGGAATGATCTGTAGTCCCCACGCTAGCTCAATGCGTATTGGAGATTCACATTCATCCATAGAACATAATATCTCTGGGGTCGGGGGCCCGTGGCATTTTGCCAGCCCTGTCACCCTACGCTGCTTTGATGCAATACCGTGATTCGAGTCGAAACATGACACTAAGTAAGCCTTCCAAATGTCAAAAACGTATTGGATCCTGACATACGTAAGTCATAGTACGCGCTAAGTCGCGTTTCAAAATATTAGAGACTACGCAGACATTCCCCATATAACATTAGATTATTAATACCAGATATAATATTAGATATAATATAATACCAGTAAGAGATCCGAGTCCAGTCAGCCTCGTCCTAGGCTCCAACAGAAGTAAATAAACCGGTACAGCTGTAAGTATCATGAGACAGCCGACGCCCGTTTCAGCTGGAGACGCTACAGCTGGAAATGCCACTACTAGGATTGTGCAGATTATGTAGAGGACTGAAAGTAAAAAATAATAAATAAGGAATTATATAAATTCAATATTTCTGTTTCTTTGGTTCATCAGCCTTCATCGGTTTTAGGGGTCTAAGACATGCCGGTTTCCTCACGATGCATTCCTTAACCCTACGAGCGACTGTTTAATGCGTAAATAGTTAGGTTAAGGGGTTCGTACCTACGACCTCAGGGATGAGGGTCGCACACTGAAGCCACTAGACCAACATTGCTTTTTTCATGTTATATATTTACTTTTTATATACAAGAAATTACAGACTATAAAAGTATTACTTAATAACCTTAAAAAATATTATTTAAAAACTAAAATATATTATTAAAAGGAGTATTTTTTATTTATTATATTATCCTCACCAGAATCCGTAATATAGCTTTTGATGATTAAATTCACTTTCATAATTATTACTTACTAGGGAAGAAAAGGTTGACTTTGATGGGTCGTTCAAGATTTGGCTGTGTATACCGCAGAACCGGCAGACATAGCACGGCCGCTCCGATACTCAACTGAAAATAATGAAATTTATGATAATGTGGTTAAATCTTATACAATTTACAATTGCGGTGACTAAAGTAAAATTCAGTATTCTAGAACTTTAAGTTTAAATCTAGTTTAGCTCTTAGTAAAGTTTGAAAACAAACCGCTTTCTTTTCATAATTTTACACAATTTTTTTCTTCTAAAAGGTGCCTGATTTTTTATTTTGTAATTTAGTAAAAGAAAATTAGAAAAAGAAGTAGTATTTCTTATTTTAATATCATTCAAGATTTTTCTATTATGGCGGTCCAATATTACCAATCGTAATTATTACAAATCGTAACACTTGTAAAATTATATCATTGAAAACGTTTTAGCCGAATAGACGCTAAACCTTCTTGATTCAAACTTTATCTTATAATGAAAAAACTTACCCATGTAGCAAATCCAACATAGTTAATAAGAGCCTGAATGTCTGATACAGTTAAGTAGAGAAGCGACAAAAGCGCCACGGCTAATACAGCAGGCACAGGTGTCGCACGAGAAGACACCATCGTTAACATCGCAGGCATTTGGCCTTGCGCTGCGCCCGCGTAGAATAATCTATACAAAATTAAATGAAATTGATTATTTGTTCAGATGAGTCAGTATTGATGGATGTTATTTGATGGACTAAACATGCAGAGACAAGAATCCAGGATATGGATTATACGTTAAGTGCATTAAACACTATGCGAGGGAGCTCGAACTAAATTGCAAATTACAAAAATAAATTTTATTGATTTATTTATTTACACTTCGTTGCATTACAATATAAAAAATATAACTTAATTAAATCTAAAGGAGGGCAACTGGTGGCCCTATCGCTTTGGAGCGATCTCTTCCAGACCACTTTGAGAAAATAATTTTTTTTTCATTAAATTTATCATTGTTATTACGAAATATTATAATCGCTATCATAACGTTCAATGAGCTAATTTTTGCAGCTACCGCCGTAAATAAACGCCTGATTAGCGTTTGGTGTGCAAAATTTCAATAAAATATGTTAATTTATTTATTTGGAAAAGTATTAAAAAAAAATCTTTAAAGTTAGATAATAAAGATAGTGTGATATTAACAAATCCTTATAAAGACCATACTAAGAATTGATTCTTTACTGTCTTTCTTATTGTGTCTAAAACAAAAAATATATATTATTGCCATACGTTCTATGATATATTAGTTTTTACTCTATAAATTGATATTAATTTTATCGAAATACGATAACGCAAGGCTCGATAGTCGGTGTAGCTTGAAAATGTCATTGTTAGAATGGTGACCGTGAATGTTCACTGCCACGAGCAAAAAATTGTAAATATAAAATACACCAAACAATCGATAAATACCAAACCGATTAAATGTTATATGTAAAAGCATAGCATGGAATTTTAAGAGACTATATTTCTATATATTTGTACTACCTATAAAATATATTAGTGCCTGTAAAAAACTCATAACACTTCGGCTATTTTTCATTTAACTCTACCCACTATCTATAGTTAATAATTTATTTATTAACACTTCGTTGCATTAACATAATAAAAATTGAACATAATTAAATGAAAAGCGGCGGCCTTATCGCTTTCGAGCGATCTCTTCCAGGCAACCACTAATAATCTATATATATAAAAGAAAAATGGTCTTCGTTTGAGGCTCCTTCACGCCTAAACCACTGATCGTATCGACATGAAACTTCCACCATTCGATGCGAAATTTTTCCTAGATGGTTTATTTATTTATTAAATTCCAACGTTCCTTCATTTTTTTATTGCTGTTTTACTTTTATGAAAATTTATCCATACGGACTTCACCGCGGAAACATTCGGGGAGGCTTCCTAGAACCTCTAAACGTCAACATCTGTTAAAAACTCGATTTTCGAAATATTTCAATTTTCTTAGCGGGAAGTTAAAAAGAAGAATAATAAAAATATGAAAAAAAAATAAAATAATGAAACATAAAATTTATTTTAATTCGTCCAGCAAAGCGGGCGCGAAACGGCTAGTGTCTTATAAAATCAAAATACGTTTATTCAATTTAAATGCGTCTTAGGGCATGCTTATGAATGTCAAAAACGTTTACAAAATTCGCAGAAGAGTAAGACTACGCCATCCATTCGGAAAACTACCAGGAGGCCTTGTTCTGAGAAGAACGGGCAAGAAACTCAGTAAGTTTTACCCTCCCTCTACATTACAATTATTATTCAAAGGATATTGTCATAAATGTCAAACAAAAGCTAACCTTCAATATTAGAATTTAACATACAATTTAATTTCTACTAATAACTTAGAAATGACAAACCTTGAAGACGTAAGTAACACTCCGTTGACAGCGCCAAATGTAGAAGCAGCTACGAACAAAGGTATGCATAGTGCAAATGCACCGAACAATCGCTCAGCGAATGTTACTGCTACCGCGGCTGAACCGAGGACCTTGAAGTTTACAAAATTATTATGGAAATGTAATTGTAAATGATTTTAACATCCGTGGACAGATTTGTCTTTAAAATTGAAGGTACATTACCGACAAATTAGAAATTTATTATATTACACATACATTGTTTTTGATGTGTCTTTGTAGATATTATATCTAAATTTTTGTAACAAAAATGCCTCCAAATTATATAACAGAACTAATTACACAAAAGCTGTAGCCGAATGATATCTCTCCCTCACTTTTTCATATACCTGTAGAGATACATGTTTTAAGACATGTAACATACTAGATCCTCCTTAAATTAATCCTAAAACATAAATTAGCAGCAAAACCTACCTCAGTAGGAGAAAGTGTGGTGTAAAAGGCCACATTAGTGAGTGTATAGACGATGGTCACAAGAGTACAGGAAATAGCGATGGCACGAGGTAAGTTCCGGACCGGGTCCTTAAGTTCTTCTATTATGAAATTTAAGTAGTTCCTGAAAATATTCAGTATCAGTAAAAATCGTCACGTTGTACTCAGTTTAATTTTAATAAACTTAGAAATTTTCAGCATTCTCAATTACTCGTTGTATATGTCCCACTAATGGCTATAGGCCTCCTCTCTTAGGCGAGACGGAATGGTCTGTAGTCCCCACGATAGCCCAATGCGTATTGGAGACTTCGTGGGCAGGTGCCCACTTGGATCGGGGGCCCGTGGCATTTTGCCAGCCCTGCCACCCTATTGTTACGCCAGTGGGTATTTAAGACTATAGCGATTTGCTTTGTCTAATTTTTAAAGATTTGGGTTTCTAAAGTCATAGTATGTAAATTTTTAATACATTTTTGACATAGGAGACTCATAGTTGCTAAGTATTGTTGATATCATAGGCTTGAGTAAAGTTATAGTAACTACCATTATATAACCACAGGGCTTAAACATTGGGTAAAATCAAACAGTTAACGAATGCATTACTAGAATAGATTTTTGTAAGGACGGCTACAGAGCATTAATAAGTTTTCGAATTAATAATTATCTGGATTCTATGGTACTCCATACTTTTACATAGTCTACTGACTATATAAACTTTTCACTACACCATTGAAAAGTTTGTTTTGAGGGTACCTACAGTTGGGCTATATGTGACCCATTGTATAAATGTATATATTATTATGAAAGATTACATAAAATTAAATTAAATTGTTTCTTTTTTAAATTGACGTCATAACTTACCATCCGTTATAAGCGAAGAGACCAGAATAGAATGATAACGCAATGGAAGTGACGTCATCAGTTGTACCTTCAAATGTGAAATGCTCTACGTGCCCTGTGAATTTCAAAAGACAAATATAGAATATGGCTTTTGTGATACATTTGGATGCGCATTTGTGTAGTTCATTCGAAATAGGCCCTCGGAGCTCGGATGATGAAAATTAAATAATGATCTTTGGTTTGGGCGTAAGAAAGAGATACAAATAATCAAAGGCAAATGTCTATGAGACGTTGAAATCTTCGTTTGACCTATAGCCCTGTCGGACAGATTATAACCTCTAATAGATAAATGGGTTCGAGAGGCCATGATTAAAGTTAAACTATTTGTAACCGACTTCATAAATGATAGACCTACAATTTGTCGAATCGTTCTCACTATGTATTTGCGTGTTGTTCCCACGAGAATGTAAGTGCGTGCTCCTATTTCATCATACCTCCCGCTGATAGAAGACAAATCTTTGTTTTTAATTTATTATTATTAATTAACTATTAATTACTCAAGATGTAATGTGGAACGTGGTGTAATTGTTGCAGCTCCTTACATACATTATGCACATAAAAAAACTTGGCGATTAAAAAGACTGGCGGAGAGTTTATTGCCAGTTCTTCCGTTCCGTTCTACGCCCTTGATTTGAGAACTGGCAGTAAATGTAAAATTAGAAGCATTTAATGTATATTTCTTTTTTGACATTCATAAGTGTACCTATATGAATAAATGATTTTGATTGATTGACTAATAATACCTAATAATAAAAACTTTATTCATGACAGAAATATGGGTGTGACATAATTCATGTATCGCTTGTCCCCAGACTTGGGTAACTAGAGTACAATTACACGATGCATGTTTAAAACAATGTTTTTAAGAAAAAGTAGTGTTACATCTAATCAAACAAAAGTCGTATAAGACCTTAAGTATGCGTAAATGGGTGTGTGTGCACACACACTCTGTTTATGAGAGTGTGGGTGAGAGTTATGTCTGTGTTAATTTTAGTTATATCTCCTTAAGTGTAAGATCAATTAATTTTATCTAATTCGTTACTATTATCAAAACGTAAGATTTTTTAAGTTATTTAGGCGTTGCTAACACGTGTGTAGGTTGTATCTAAGTATATATGAGTGTTATTCCCCCGCAACAGTCTATTTTAGATTCATATAAATAAATTGCAGGGCCCAGTGGGGTCCATACACTTGCAGTAAGGTATCGGAAAGCGTTGGCGAACGGACGGACTCCAAATAGGACTTATTAGATGATTACTCAGATCCGGTGATCTCCAGTTACATTAAATTATGAGAAATGCCATACAATAACTTCGCTAACTCAATAAAGGAATGCCAAAATTTTAGAATAACTTGGGACATATTCGAATAAATTATCTAATTCAATAAACTATATATACTTATATTACTTATAAGTCAACTAAACTAAAAGAACCGGAAAGAATAACAATTTTTTATTTATTTATTTGATATATTGGGTAATTTATTTTGTACAAGGCAGAACCATTCTATCTCCATTTAATTAGATGGTGTCAAGCGCAGATGATATCACTCAGCTTTCAATGGAGCCGATAAATCAATTTAAAACTCCATTTGCCTTAGAAACGAGTCTATTACCAGCAATGGAGATAATTTCATTTAAAAAGGATTTATTTTATATACAGAAATATACCTGAAAATTAATATTTTCTTATATAAAATTCATATTAAGAAACCTGGCGTTGCATTCAAGACTTTCTCAGTGTTATAAACACGTGTTTTTTATTTCATTTCAATTTCAAAAGGATCCCGACTAATTTGGCACCAATTACGACTTTAATAAAGCACGCATTTTTAGTTTTTGTTGGGAGTTCGAATCTTATTCGTAGAACTCGATGCACGTTACAAGAAACCAGTTTGTAACCACATCTGTTTCCTTGATGATGGGTCTGTAACTTCCAAAGCGATACCGACAGCCATCCGGTCCTTGGTCCAGTTCCGGAGGTTTGCGACACGGATATTGGGATAAGTACACCGAACTTGAATACAACAGGCAACAGCGTCTTATCGCTGTCGCTATTGCAGAGTACTACTCTACTTTCCCGTAAAGAAAACTGGATCCTAGTTTTCTTTACAGGAGAGTATATGAACAGTTTTGTGACATACGCGGTAGATGTTTGAGTCTGAAACGTGCTGGATTCCGTACGATGTTTTTAACCGTATTAAGAAGTATTGTTTATAGAAAAATACACAGCGGGAGTTCGATGGAGCCATGCCAGAGTTGAAATTACTCCTTATACATTTTTTATATATATTATATATATGTATTTAAACAAGACTTAGCAAACGTGTCGAGGGGAAACTTTTCCGTTTCACCGTTAAAAGTGTTATGAGGAATATTTATACTACATATATTCCTTTTAAATAAAATAGAAACAAGTGTTAAAACTTAGTGATAAAATTAAGTCATTTATACCTGTGCACAGTTGGTACATTCCAGCAGCGATGATGATGAAGAGCGCCAAGAGCTTTGCGTACGTGAACCAGTCTTGCACCCTCGTTGCCGCACGTACAGACCAACAGTTTATAAATGTCAATAGCACTGAAATGAACAAAAAATGTTGCCAATTGAGATATTTATAAATAAAAATATAAGCCAGTCGAAAGTCTAGTAACGGTAAAAATATACAAAAAGCATAAAACTAGGTTTAGAAAAACTTCAAAGCGTTACAAATTTCTTTCGCATTTATAAGAGTCAGTTCTTAAGTATGAGATTTTGCTTAAATTGCGGCTTCGATTGTATATAACCTAAATTTAATTTGAGGACGAAATACTTATACATTATGGATGTATAATAGAAAATGAACTCACATATGCAGCAAGCAGCCAGTAATCTAGTGGCCTCGTCGGGTGGTTGACATTCTGGGAATATCGGCTTCAGGACGTACACACTGAATGTCAGCGCCACGATCGCCTAACAACGGAACATTATGTAAAACGTTTTGTACCTTAAAATAACAAATGACTGCAGCATGCACCTTTGAACTTTTGACTTTAAGAATGACAGACAGTTTTTCTTACAGTCTCTTTTTAAGGTGAAGTCGTATTTTGGCTCTAATATAAATTAATATTATAACAATGTTAATACTGTATATTTGTTTGTTACATGAATTAAAATAAATTTATGAAAAAAATAACCTATTTATTTCAAGCAATAAAATAAAAACATGTAAGCAGATAAAGTTGTAAATAGTTTTCAGATCCATTTTCCTATGTATGGTAACGTTTCCTTCTAACGTTGAGCACGATTTAAAGAGATTTACGCAGTTCAATAAAGTTCAAAGAACAAATCAGGGTCAATCCTCGGATTTACACTAACAGGGATTTAATGTCTACACATAAATAAATTGTTATTGATTTGACATTAAATGCAATTGCTTTAGAAATATCTATGCGTGGTATAGCAGTTAATAAAAATCTGTAGCCTCCAGCAGTCCACGTCAAACACATTTCTACAAATATATTTTACTCTAAAATATAATGTTCCACATTTAAAAGCTTATTTTAGAGTAATCCGATTTACGAAGCGCAAGAGCACAAGTACCTACATGCATTTAGAACTAATTATGTTTCAAAAGACCTACGTATAAGTTTACAAATCCTATTTGCTCTATCTAGCAATATTTTTAATTATATAGGCAAAAGCTTATATGGCAAATTTTATATTATCTGATTGAAATGAATTATAAAAAATTATTTTGTCTAATAAAATATTATTATACTTTATATTGTAACCCACAAAGGAGGTGGGCGATGAAAGACGTTACTAGAAATGAGGTCAAGATATTGATCGCTTTACTATCACCCTTATTGCTATATAAATAAAGATCAATATTTTCACAACCTCATTCCGAAAATTGCGGCTATTTTTGGTAACTTCTCTAAGATCAACTAAACAGATAATCCGCTTAAGTAAGGAAACGTACTATTTGAATCTTTTTTACTCAAAAAAAACCGCAGATATTTGTTATTAATATAAGTGAACATCAACGTTTTGTTGGCAAATAAAAAAAACGTAAAAGGTATCAAATATTTTTGAAATAGAGAGAATCTCTCGTGGCATAAATCAGAAATAGTTAGGCTCGCTCCTCAAATCAAAGAAGCAACTTTTAATTCTGAATGTCTTAATAACAGCAAAAAAGAAGGGTTTTTTATTATCTTCTTATTTCTTAAAAAAATATCATTGGCGCTACAACCTTTTTAGGTGTGGGCCTCAGATTTCTGTATCTGTTTCATGACCATTTGCTAATGTTAAACGCGCACATAGAAAGTCCATTGGTGCACAGCCGGGGATCGAATCTAAGACCTCAGGGATGAGAGTCACACACTGAAGCCACTAGGACAACACTGCTCTAGTTCTAAAACCTAGTATTTCTTCAACCTAGCTCAAATTACCTGCGAACAAGGTCTCACAATCATACATTCGATCCACAATCGAATAAAGGCAGCGAAGGGCCCAAATGTCTCCATGATGTAGGCATAATCCGCACCGCTCTGTCGAATCATAGTACCCAACTCAGCATAGCAGTAGGCACCAACCTGTTAAAGAAAGTTAGTTTTTATTAGACAACTAATCCCTATTAAATGCGCCAAAAATTGTAAAACAGGGTCACTTTTCGGTAGAGTAATTTTTTTTCACAGTGGGGTCCGAAGTAAACAAAAAGTTTTGATTTCAAAAAAAATTATATCGTATAACTTAATATTATCTTCAATACACTCAATAAACAACTATAAATATTATGTCTAACGCAAGAATTCATCAGTATCAATCTAGTGGATATTATGAAAAAGATAAAATTAGCCGTTTAATTAACAGCCTAGCCGTTTAACTAAACGGCGCCGTTTAACTAGCAGCCTGATAGATGTTCATTTGCCTAGATGTTTGATCAAACAGCTAGGCAAATGACTTGCATCGATGACGTTTCATTACTAGCCTAGCCTGTTGACTGTTAATTTAAATTTAATTCCACTTTCTGCCACTCTCAAACTCGAAACGAAATTTCAACTGTCAATATGGCGTCGGCAAACCACAACTTTGATGGTGGTTTCCAAAGTTTCATGAAAAACAACAAGAACAATAGAAGAGTGCAGTGACAATAATTATGTGAATTTGACTTAAGCAATTTCATTTTAAAAGAAATATTTTTTCATCTACAGTTATCAGCACAACAATAAGTTCTATTTAAAATAGCGTCGTTTCTTTATTACATTGTGTTGGCTTAAGCAATCCGCTTAAAATATAGTTCTTGATTTCCCCCGAGACTTGTTAAGAGGTATTTATCAAATAATATTAAATGTCGACCCGTAGGAATAGGAATAGAACAGAATAGCAATTAACATAGATCGTCCGAATAAATGAGTAAGTTGAGGAAGCCAATGTTACTGTCAATTAATTATAGTTTTTGGTTATTATTTTCAAAATAACATTTAAGTAAAAACATTTAATAAAAGTTTTCCTAATTATACAATAAGGGTATAGGCATGACTTTGCCTTAATTTTGTGTATTAAGATAGATTTGGAAAACGGAATAATAGTTGTTTCTAGAAACTAAACAGATAGAATATATCGATAGAATTGAGCTTACTCTACGAAGACATTTTTACGTGTCTGTATTTATAATTAATAATACTTTATATGTATTATCGTAAGATCGTCGTTTCTATTGAACCAAGTCTTCTAGGTCAAAATTATAATATTCGCGAATAACTTTACTTTCCAATCTACGCAGATGATAATGACCTACTTTTGTGTCGTAACTATTACGTTAATTATTAACACGATCTAGTTTCGGCAATTGTGTTTTAAATACACTTTTTATTAGGTTATTAAGTGTCTGAAAGCGTTAGATAATATTTTTATTTAAAAAACTAGTTATGTACAATTTTAGAAGAATGTTAATTTTTCTAATGAAAATTAACTCTATACATACAACATATTGTAAACATGAACATATAAAAGTAGATACTATTCGCGAGAATGTTCATCAGTAAGTCTGTTATTTTGCATATTTGTTTGTAATGAAAAAATTAACATCATCAAACAACATATTATAATTGAATTGTTCCCCACTACACTATTTACAATGAAATCCTGAATCGTGATGATGGGATATCTTTTTTATAAGTAAATTGAAAAGCTATGTTATTAAGTCTAATATAATAAAGTTCTTTTTATCAAATGCTTTGATGTCTTAGCACTCTGTGTCCTTTGCAATGTGCAATTTAAAATCATATTTAAATTCCATAAGTAATGTTAAAAACAATTTTTACGTTTAATGTTTGCATAACATATTGGATTTTGACATACGGAAGACATAGTTAGCGCTAAGCCTAGGCTCTGAATCTTACCCTAAGTTGCACACAACCTCTAGTTACTGTAGTTTTATAGTTTAACCTAAATGTCTAATAATAAACCCTAATTTGTCAAATTTTGTCGAGAGGAGCAATACCTAATAATAAATCAATCAATGGACTGTATTTGTCTGATTAATAAAAATTATTATTATTATATTATAATACCTATGTAATGTCATCCTAATTTGTCAATCCTGTTATGTGAGTTAAATATTTTGATAGTTTAAAAACTTGAATAACCAGATATTGAATCTAACATGGTCAACTTGTAGAGACCTTGGTCCACTTATCAAACTCATCACCTAACTTGACAATCGATTTTATATAGTTTTGACAGTAAATTGCCAATGGAAATAGTGATAGCAAAGAAATATCGTAATTAAAATATTATGATATCAAAGTAGTCGAAACCTTATATTATTTGAGTATTAATGGTATACCCTACACCCATCTAAGTTGGGGATTACATCTAGATAAACCATACATACCTAAATATATTTTACATAAGATAAATAATTGATATTAGTTCTGAATTTAGAGCAGTGCACAGAATAGGTCTTGAATAAGGAAACCTATTCTGTGCACTGCTCTAGGAGGATTTTTATATAAATCTACGACTGGGAAAATCGTAGGGTAAAAGTTAGCACAAAAATAAAAATGGGATCAATTGAAAATTAGAAGAAAATTAAAAGCAAATTCGGTCAAAAGATAAGATAAAAAGTTCGGTCACTGTGGCAGTGTACCTTTAACGCTGGCAGCCTGTGTCGTTACTATCGCGATACTTATTCGTTGAGCGAGGAAAGCTCTGGAATCACCGGTACTATCTATCAGGCGCCAACTTAAATCTTTAATTTTTTTAGTATTAAATCTATGATTTGGCCATGTGTACGTGAAATCTTAAGCCCCTTGAACCATCTTGAACCCCACGGCCCAAGAGTTTCTACTCAAAAGGTAACAAAATCGAGATTGGAAAAAAGACTCTTATATTTGTGCCGTTTATTATTTTCCACCTGTAATATATATTAAGTTTTGAGGTTTAATGACGTGACGAAGTGTTGTCACGCATTTTCGTGGGTTATAATCTATTAACGTAATTTAGTAGCAGTTAAATTGGCTCTACGCGTATAAGTTTAAGAAATTGTAAATTAATATGTAATTATTATAGTACACCAGTTATCATCGTGAAATTTATTTAAGTCGGTGTACGATTTCAAATGTTTTCTGTTCGTACCTATTGATATTTGCCCACTGAACATTTTTTATAAACCTTCAATTAAATAGATCAACAAGTAATACATTATACATACCATACTGAAAACTCCTGATGTTATCCAAACAAGAAGACTAGCATTGACACTTCCCGTATACTTCAAAACGCCAGTGGGTGACACAAAAATGCCACTGCCGATAATCGAACCTACGATAACCGTGATTCCGTTCAGCAGTGACATCTTCGCCTCCAATCCACCTTTATCATCTTCAGCCTCCGATTTAAGAGCATCTGTATCACACTCATCTTCACAGCCATTTGTACTTTTTGGTGACCTGTAACAAAGAAAATGTATGCTGATAAGTTTGTTATTTGATTAAGATAAATATTTCGATGTTTAAATGTCTATGGAATTCACGTAAATTGGCTCGTTTTCTTAGGTCAATTATCAATACATCATGTCACAAGTGTGACTTCACATTATGCACTACAGCGAATAGATTTGAGTATAATTTAGGTTCAACAAACATTTTTTTACAATCAGTTCCCTGAGAACTTAACGAATAATAAAAACTAAAAATGCTTTGTTAGCTAAATGCAATAAGTCAATAAGTAGAACATACAACACTGCAAAATTAAATCATCGAATAATTTAAACGAACTATTCCTCATGTTTGTAATTAGCGAGAGATAGTAGTTACAAAAATAAATTGAATCATATTTGCGGATCGTACCGCTTTTAATTGTTGCCATCTTTATTCAACAACGCCTATTAAATTGTTATGCAATGATGGGAAATAAATTTTGCACTGAGATTTAATTCATGAATTCATTAGAAAATCCATTCATCTCTGATTTAAAATGTTTTTCAGTTTACCAACGATAATTACGTTTAATAGAAAAAACACCTGCGTTCGAATTAACAGTAGATATACGTATAGTTTGTAGCAGAATGCTACGAAAGAGCTACGAACTCTTAAGATTATTTTGATATAACAAATCCTGTCTAATTTTCGTTTTATACAATTAATACTAACAATTTTATTATTATGAATATAGTATTTCAAGTTTGTATCATTTAATATTCATTAAAAATTAAAAACACCTATTATTATTAGGTGCTTAAAACCAGTTGTAAAAGCGGTTGTGTTTGTTCCGTATAACTATTGTGTGACCAATAAAAGTCTGTGAGTTCTATAAGGGGGTTATTCCCAGTCTTGTTTAGATCAAAGGAATTCAAAGGGGCCTTTATAAAAGAATTGGGGTCATACAAGGACGCGCGCTCGAATCACTTTTGCTTGGTTGACAATTTAATGATTTAAATTTGCTTCAAAAATAATGCTAAGCAGAAATGTAGATAGAGTATTTCTTCATAATTATAATTATGACATCTTATTGTTATCTACTTGAATGAGTATCCGAAAGATATATATATATATATCAACTAATGGAATCACATTGTAGTATCTCAATCAAAGTATAAATACGTATCAATGAGTATCAGATTTGGCCGCAGCCACGTCAATTGGCCATCAGTCGGGTATCGCATGTCAGGGGTTCAATGATAAGACCTTGTTCTGTTCCGTAACAATGATAGTGCAGCGAACTCGATTTGCGAACTGAAAGTATAGGAACTTTCGAATTATCTGTTGAATTATATTGAAAACGTTGAACGTCTTTAATAAAAAGTATCTTAATTTTTTTATAGGAATTATAAAAAATATTCAAAGGTCAAGTACATTTCACGAATTTGAATTGGACATTGGAAGCTGACTTTGATAGCGCTTAGAAATTTTGCACAAATAAATCTCAAACATAAGAAACTTAAGGGAACTTATGGAGACAATGTTGATGTGAAAAATAGTTTATAATAAAAATATTTTCGTTTCTAAAGTTTTCCAATAGCTAAGCACTTAAAAGCCTCCCCCTTCACTCACTTCCGAGACAATAGATCGGAAGCGATGACGCAACATATAAAATTTGTAAGAGTACGGCCTAGTTTCAAGAGATCGATCGTGACAAGGTTACGGCAATTACTCTCAGTCTAGACTACTTATATTTACGATAAAATATCACAAGACTAAATTACTCTGCAACAACGGTATAATTCTAAAATCACCAATAGAGCCTACTAAAAAATATGTACATATTTTTGTGTTAAACATTAAAAGTAAGTACCACACGGTGATATGTATCACATACATTATACCTCAGGTCGGATAACGTGAATAAGAAAACCTTACTGCATTCATACCGCTACACATATTACTTTATATATAAAGAAAAGTCTCGTCAACTAACTTAGCCACATTTTATGTAGTAAGAGAAAGTTAACTTAGTACTTTTTGTATGAAAACTAAGAAACTACTTCTGCGCGCCAAAAACTCTAATCAACATTTTCGCCGGAAAATAAAAAGAAATTTCAAAGCTATCGCTTATATTAGTGAAATCTGTGAAATTCTGCTGAAACACAAGGGGTTTTGTGGCATATATTATATCATGTCAATATATCACAGATTAAACATTTTGTTACATGGTTTGCCAATATGATACATAGCCTCTTAGAAGCTTGGAGTGCTCAGCTAGGCGAGACAGTACTTCACTCCGGGCCACTGCTTGCCACTCTGTAAAGCGCAAATTCGGCCATGAAGTACTGTTACTTATCTCTGGGCGGGTGCTCCCAAGTACCAGCTCCTTCCGCTTGACCGTATTTAACGAAGAGCGATTCGAATTGTCGACAACCAATCACTATCCGAGCGGCTTGATTTCTTGGCGTTGCGTAGAGAGGGTCTCTCTGCACCTTCTACCGCATTTACCATGGAGAGTATTCAGAGGAGTTGTTTGTATTAATACCTGCAGCTGAGTTTTTCATCGGACGTCAAGGCAGAATACAAAATACCATCCGTATCACCTCGACGTCTGTCGTTCCACAACTGAGCGTTTCGTAAGGCAGTTTTTGTAGCGCACCACCACTATGTGGAACCAGCTGCCGTCTGAAGTATTTCCAAAGTCCGAACCAATCCAACTTAGGGTCCTTCCTTAAAAGGCCGGCACACTTGCGAGCTATCTGGCAATGTGTGTCCATGGGCGGTATCACTTAACATCAGATGAGCCTCTTGCCCGTTTGCCTCATGTTACATAAAATAAATAATAATAATGAACTTAAAAAGCTTGGTGCTGCAGTGTAGTTTTAATGCTGGCAGCATTTTCTCGCTGCATTGCGATACTTATTCGTTAACTTTTTTATTTGAAGGCTTACCTGGTTTGAGGTAATTCACTTAGATGATTGACTGTGCAACGACCAAATTTGATAGTATAGACATTAATGGTGAGCAATTTTGTGACATGGTTCAGGTCAAACTATCATTATTATCTATTTGCTTATCATTATTGCGCTGTTGCTGGCCTATCGATAATAATATTTACATTACAAACTTTGATTGTTGATCTAAATAATTACTATGTATTAAAATATTCACAATTAATTTATAGCTGTTGTACTTCACTGTATTCGCATACATAAGAGTTGTGAAGAAATATTTTCTATATTTATAGCATTGCTAGCTAACCCGACAAACGTTTTGCCGTGTATATTATTTTTAGGAAAAAAATTTTGGTTCAATAAAAATAACTATCTACTATAATAAAAAATAGGGGTTAATTGTAGAGGGGAGGAAATTAAGGGTTGTATGTATTTTAATGCCACATAATAAAAATAACAATTTTAAAAAAATAACCAAAAATAAAAATAAAAATATTTAGGGTGGACAACCTTTATCACTTAAGGGTTTGACAGATAATAGCCGATTCTCAGAATTACTGAATATGCATAAAAAAATTCATAAGAATCGCTCGAGCCGTTTCGGAGGAGTATGGGAACGAACATTGTGACACGAGAATTTTATAAATATAGAGATGAAGATTATGTTGTATAATAATAAAAAGATTGAAACTAAGTAATATAGGTTTAAAATATATTTTTTTATTATAGAATGGAGTAGTAAGCTACTTTTCTAAATAATATACATATTTTAATTTAATTACTAAGTGTTTATAATACGTAACAAAAAATGATTTAATTTATCAAAAAAACCTCGTAAATTTGAACCATGTTCATTAGAAATATGTTAATATGAAATCATAGTAAAATATATTTATATTTGGAATGTTATAGATCTAATTACATGACCCCAACCTAGCCACAACCTTACATAAAACATTGCAATACGTCAATCTTAAATTGACAACTATTACTATTTTGAATGATGCAATGATCTAGCGCCACTACGTCAGTACGTCTGAATGCGAGCGGAGTCTGTAATGTGAGTGGAGGTGATGTATAATACAAAATTAAGTTCTAAGGCACTTGTGGTTGTGTGATCATCAAAAGATGATTCGGTAAATATTCCGTATCGCGGCACCAGTGATTTGAGACTGATTATTTTTTGCAGTCGCGTTATATTCTGTAAACATCATAACTAGTATTGTTATGATGGCGCATGAAAAAAAGGAATTCAATATACTTAAAAAAAATATTAATATACTAACCTAACCTAACCGAACAATATTAATAATAGGCTTTTTGGACCGCGCTGCGGGACTCTGCGGGGCTGCTCTTCCTCCGCGCCTCCGATTTTTTATATACACTCTAGGGGTAAGGCAGACAAGACAAGCAAAAATAATGCTTTTTAATGTCTAATCACGATTATTTACTATTATATACTCGTAAGCTTTACGCAGATAAGGAAGTTTTAGATTGATATACACAAGATACGTTGCGACTTATAGAAACACAAACGTTAGTTCATTCACAAATTATTTGTATCAAGATTAGTTTTAGATTTACACTCTGTGGGATCAAAGGCATTTTGGCACGTGTTGAGGCTTGGGGTCAAAAGGGGTGGGAAAACGGGAGAAACCGAGGGTACACAGCACGATCGATACCATGTGGGTACGATTTAGAGGTTACTTTTAACCAAATCGATGTCTTTTAAGTTTAATAAGTTATAATTATCATAGTAGTTTTATCTATCAACAATAGTTTTTCTTGCGCGTTTAATAGAAATGTCTAATTTCATAATTAAAGCTAGTAAATACGTAATTTGAATTGAGTTCGGATCCCATATCCGAACTCTAAGCTTCATTAATAATAGTTATATATGTTAGATACTATAATTCATAATGCATTTTAATTTAAAGTTCAATCCTCAGGTAATTATGATACATTTATAGGTATTGGAAAAAAATATAAATATATTACTGCTAAAAAAAACTAATATATTATTAATTTTAACTTAAATTTATACCGAGATAAATAAAGCCAATTTAGCCTATTTAAACTAAAAATCTATGTTGTAAAAAAATATTAATTCTCTCCAGGTACATACAGAACTTAACATAAGTGAATAATTAAGCACGTTTACGCTTTAGTTTCAAGTTGTAACGCCTTTTTAGGTGTCACAAGCATGCTACGAGTTATGGAGCTACGGTTTCTGACGTAATATGCGTAATCTTTCATAACGCCATGATCATAACGCTATGAAAACCAGATGATAGGGTAAATATGTAATTGTAAATTGTGATATACTCTGTATGTTTAAAAATGCCCAACACGCTGAGATTACAGATTCATAGGTACATTATTTATAGCGTTTAATTATTTTCGTATGATAAAGTTTTCATTTACAAAACCTTTAAAGGGTTTCTATAGATGTTCGGTTTTTTAGGAATATACGTAAATCATCTTTATCATTGTATTTTATTTTTAATTAGTACATTGTATTATATTATTTAGTATTTTAAAAAACAAAAATCAAGCTTGTCCGCTACTTAATTCTTTCCGTTGGCATTTTACTTATCGAACAATTCAAAGGACGTTAACTAATTATTTAAATTTTAAATAAAATTTGTAAATTGACATAAACTTTTATTATAATTTTAAATTAGTCACATTTTAAATTTTATTACAATAATAAAAACGTAATATGCATTGAATAGAAGAGATTGCAATTTGACTAACAAATAAACCAAAAATTATACTTACATTATTTATTTAAATTAAACTGGCAAACTGTACACTGCACTGATTTTCCCGCCTTTTTCCAAGTAGAGCGACTTAGTCCGCCAAGACAGAACGCGAGACTGCCGTGCGCCAGTATAGACTATAGAGAGAGGAAACGTCAACTTGTGTGAGAGTAATAGAGATATACGTAGGTATTGAGCGAGGTTTTATACGGGGGTAAATGGGGTGGTATACGTCAGACGTGGGCGGTATTAAAATGTCATAGGGCCAAGTTACTAAAAATCAACAGAAAATTGTGCATTTCTATTTAAAATTTAATAAAAACTTTGCATCCTAGTCTGCAACTAAATGAAACATATTTGAAATATTTTCAAAATTTTAGCATGTTCAACTGGAAAAGCTATTCCAACTCTCCTAAAATGAAATTACTAAAACGTAACGCCCCGCGTCATCCGAAGCTAAGTAACATTATATTTCTATCAGTAGGTACATTCATCCTCCATCGCCAAGCTTAGCAAAACTAGGTAAGTACTTTTGCCTAAATTTTATGAGTAACAAAAGTTTTATTTATGATCTCTTACTGGAGACAATGGAGACTAAAGAGAAAAGACTGAAAACGATTTAATAAATATCGTGTTACCCCAAGCTTAAGTTGATGTTATTACAATCTAAAGTTATTTATAACCTATAAATAAACGTTCTTCATTCTTCCACTTTTTCCAAAGTAAAAGTGAGGTAAGTAAAGTAAATACTACGATTCTTAAATTAAACAATAATTGCTTTAATAATGTATTTAATGTAATAGATACTAACAATAGCCTTGTAAGTGTAAAAAAATACAATTACAACACCGAGCAGTATCTACGATATACTGAAACACAAATTTTGCACATTTCTTCACATACCTAGGTAACACTGAAAATGTTTAGAAATGAAAAACGGCTTCATGTAGAAAGTTGCCAATACTTTTATTGTTTTTCGTAGTAATCTCCGTACCATCAGTAACATCGTCGCATTCGATGGAACCACTGAGAAAAGCAGTAGACTCATTCTTCCTTAGGGGTCTCTTCTATGGCATTTTCACCGCATCTTCTGGGTTCATAAAGCGAATACCTCGACGTGGTACAAAGCTTCCGGACGGCTAAATGTTCGTGTAATATTTTTTGAACTTGACTCTGACTCTTATCTTCCTCTATCATTCGTCGCACAGCACTGATGTTATTTTCAGCAGTCGCTGTTAAAGAACGCCCCTCCGCGGATCATCATTGTGATTGCTACGTCCACGCTTAAACTCGTTAAACCAATTGTAAATAGTGGTACGAGATGGGGCTTCATTAAGAAATGCTAATCGCAGCCTATCATAGCTTTGTTGTTGAGTAAGCCCACAACGAAAGTCATAATAAATCATTGACCGAAAATTTTCTCGCGTTAAGTTCATTTTCACGTGTAACAAGAGTTTTAGATTTGCCGCCAATTCACAAAAACAAATGACAAATGAATGCAATAATATACTACATTATGTTACCAAAGAGTTCTAAAATTGAAATTCAAAAAAGTTTCATAAGCAATGTTTCTAACTGGCCAATTCTAAACATTTTCAGTGTTACGTACGTACAAGTAGTCGTTAAGTAAGAGCTAACGGTTACTTTAAACGTTTAGTACATCGATAAATTAAAAAAAAAATACATTCCGATCGGATGCCAAAAAATATATTTTACTATCCCATGTGTGTTTAAAAACGGTTGTGTCTCATAATGTTTTAAAAGACGAAACGGTTGTGCCCTCCGTTTAATTTTCTTGTTATTTACTCACTTGTCCATTGCCAACATCATTTGTTTGACCAATCACAATCGAAAGCAACAATTCGGCTTGTATCGCTTCCTTTACCTACATCACAAGCTTTTTTACAAACATAAAAAAAGAAGAAGAAGGGAAGAGAATAAACTCCCCGCCACTCTTTTTAATTGCCTAGTTTTTTGTTTTACACGATGTTTGTAAGGAGTTGCCACCCTTACACCATGTTTGACATGACCTCTTAAGTAATTGATAATAATAAAATAAATTAAAAACAAGGCTTTGTCCTCTTTCAGCAGGAGGCATGGTGAAATAGGAGCACGCACTTACATTACTGTGGGAGCAACACGCAAATCATAGTCGAAATAACTAACATCACCGCGTACACGAATTCAAGTCCGACCAGTCACCACAAGTAGCACCCGTTTACGAGTAAGACGCATGTAGGTACAGCCACCGGCCCGAGAGAAGAGACAACCCGACGCATGGACATTGGACGCCGCTACAAGCAACGGTGCTAACAACAAGCACCGGTTCAACTTAGGTGTTTAGATACAAAGATATTGACATACATTTGTTTGTTATTCTACCATTTTATAATTAAATAGATGACTCTGTGCTATCTATGACAGCAGTACTAGAGTAAATTAAAAATTCGATTATAAATAAAAATTAATTAAAAAATTAATTAATTATTAATTATATACGGGAGTAACTTGATCTGCAAAATATTATTATTATTATTATGTATATAAACACACTAGCAGCTTAATAAGCTGATGCGCGTGTATTTTGAGATTTGGAGAAACTATCCAATCTATTATTAAAGAAGTTCAAAGATGTCTCTTAAAAAAAATATTGGACACACTGAAAAGCAAAATTGAAGACTCGGGGCGGTTCATTAAAAGGAAGAAAGGCAGATCTTGTCACGAGGTAATCACATTAGATATTTTTAAATATTCATTGAAAAACTTTTAGGGGAAGGAAAGGGATGAAGAATTTTATCAATCATAATATGTTAAAAGTATTGGACAAAATTTATGTGGTATATTTTAAAAAGGCCCTACTTAATAAATATATTTGTAAGAATTACTTTGAAGCATGACTGCAACCTTGGGAGTGGACGTACTGAAACTCATTATTGAGATCGAGATTGGTATCGCTATTAAAAGTTGCAGAGTAAGAATAAAATTAAGTTCTTGTTTCAGGCTCCTCTGTACTTTTATTCTATTTAAAAATGAAAATATCAGGCCTAAATGGTAAAAAGAGTTCAACCTGTCCTTTGGGCATATAAAAAAAATTCAACAGTTGTTTTATCTGTAGATTTTTAAAAGTTTTAACAATGGGGACCCGTAACAGTTTTATGTAATAAATGCAGTTTTATATTCCTTGAGAAACTAAAACATAAAGTGCAAAAATTTTTGTTCTACGACCAAAACTGACAAAGTTATGGGCAAAATACCGAACAAGGTTTATTGACCGCGCGAATGCAAGCGATGACGTCACAAGATCTCAACGCTTGCCGCCGAACAACAGCGCGCCCCGCGCTGTTTATTCTGTTCGCGATACTCGTCCAACACGGAGCGTAACGTCACCGGTTTATACCCAATCGATTAATAAGTGATTTGATTTGTTTAATATTAGAAGGTTGTTATCTTTATATATATAATTCTTCTGTGAGTGTGTATGTCACTGAACTTCTCTCAAACGACTGGACCGATTTTGATGAAATTTTTTGTGTGTGTTCAAGGGGATCTGGGAATGGTTTAGATTCACAAATCAGCCCGGCAGATGGCACTGCAGTCGGTACTTTCATACTTTGCTTAATATCCTAATCGCTTTAAATATCATGCAGGACAACGTCTGTGGGGTCCACTAGTTATAATATAAGAAATGAGTGGTAGAAATAAGGTAGATATCGGTTTGGAGCAAGCGCAATCCGATAATCTACCTAAAGTTGATACCTTCATGGTATTTGATTATCTTAGTAATCATTTAAACTACACAATAATGTTTAATGTTTTTATTTACTTTTCAGATATACTTTTAAATAAACAGTCCTGCAAATTGACAATACCACAGGCTATTGCCACTATATCATCCAATAGTTGAATATAAGAAAGTTTGACGGTACCTTCCCAATATATTTACAACTGTATCGTTTTTGTGCGTAGTAATATTAGTTCTCTTTTAAAGAACAGCGACATTCACAATAGGAATACAAGAAATAAGGGAAAACTTTTCCAGCCGTCTTACAGGTTGCAGAAAATAAATACTTCATTTATGGGCCTAAGTATACGCTGCTATAACATGATTCCTAGTTCCTAGCTAATATTGGAACTGCCTTTAAACAGATTCAAAACACATATCAAAAAAACCTTAATGTGTAAAGGTTACTACACAGTCAATTACTACCTGGAAGATAAAAACGCTTGGCAATAGTTCTAATAATATTCTTATAATTTGATTGGTTATCTTTGAAGTGTTATGAATATGTGTGTAATGGTGAATGTGGTAAATCACAGAACAGATTTTTATTTTTTTTACTTATGTAACTTTAATGACGTTGTGGTTTATGACATTTTCCTTTGAATAATTGTAATGTAAAGGGAGGGCAAAACTTGCTGAGTTTCTTGCCCGTTCTTCTCAGAACAAGGCCTCCTGGTAGTTTTGCGAACGGATGGCGTAGTCTTGCTCTTTCGTGAATTTTGTAAACGTTGTTGACATTCATAAGCATGCTCTAAGAAGCATCTAAATTGAATAAACGTATTTTGATTTTGATTTGATTTTGTTGACAGTTGCATGAGGTCCAACCATTTGAAAGCCTCTTAATGCTTCTTTCAACATGTACCCTCAACGCAGCAATCTTCTTTGTTTGCAACACTTCCTCTTTTTTTGGGTTTTGAGCTTGAACTCACACTAGGTGGTCTTAAAAGCTTACACTGTTTTTGTTCTAATAAATGGGCTATATTTTTGAATCCTCTGTCCGCCAAAACCAAACTCCCAGGTGTGAGTTCATCTAGAAACCCACAGTCTTCAAAGATCGTGGAATCTGGAGTCCGCCCTACATACCCCTTAGAAATAAAATTAATCATTCCATCAGGTGTAATGAAAATCAGAAATTTAATGGTGTTGCAATTTTTGTATTGCGACCAAGTTAATGCCTGGTATGTGGCATTACTTGGTTTTTGAATTTGCACCTCGAAACAATCAATTATTGAGGTCACTTTTACTAAGTTACTGTTTACCACATGAGTAATGATGATAATAGTTGGTATATGGAGCTACTTACATCAAAATGATCCTCGCAACAATATCTTAGGAGGCACGAAAGCGGAACTTTGTCATCCCTCTTCATGACAGTACACTATTTTTTGCGCACTTTCAGGTCCCTTGGCACATTAAAAAACAGTTTTTCAGGTGTACTAGTTGAAGTATTAGGACATTTCGGTACTATACAGTACTTATAATGCGTCATATTTTCACATAAAAACCACAAAACTACAACACGACCCGCGCAGATCGAGTAAACTTTAATAAATGAATGGCGGAGAGCGAGAGCGCGGGCGGTAGGGATCTCGTGACGTCACATGAGCGTTTCATGATTTCGGCCGCCCCGCGGTTGGCTCGTACAAAATGTGTAATATCTTTGCAACCAATTTACCGATTTCAATGATTTAAAAAGTATTGTAACTAATCGAGTAAAATGAACACCATTATATAGATAATATGTATATGAATTTTCCGACTTGATACGGGGACCCATTAACGAATGAGTGTTATTGGCAATTGACATAAAATATTGTGACTGTGTCAATATCATGTCCCTAATAGTTAAAACTTATTGTTATTTCAGAAATCAAATTGTAGATATCAAGTATATACAATATTTATTAAAATAATTGTTATTGTTCCTTGTGGAGTGAATCTTAATGGCCCGAAATTTATAGTATATATTTAAGTTTTAGTGTTGCATTGTTTGCAAAATGTGTACAGCCAAAAGGATCGTGATCTTATACGGTAGTCAGACTTATACATCTCAAGAAATTGCTGAGAGAATCTGGCGCACTACAAAAATCTTAGGGCTTAAAGGCCCGGTGCAGGCGTTGGATGACTATCCAATCTCGAAGCTTATCCACGAACAATATGCCCTATTCGTTTGTGCAACAACCGGCGAAGGAGAGGAACCAGACAATATGAAGGCGTTTTGGAAGTTCTTGCTGCGAAAAAACCTCCCATCTAACTCTTTAGTGAATCTCAAGTTTGGAGTGATTGGTCTTGGTGATTCATCATATGATAAATTTAATTTTGTAGCCAAAAAGCTTCATAAGCGTCTCATGCAACTAGGGGCGCAGCCCTTACTGGACACTGGTATCTATCAATATTATCTTATTTTCATTATGAAGTTTCTATGTAGAATTAGTCTTACATGGTTCTCTCTAATTATACAAAATGACATTATCTATAGGCAATTAGAACAATACTAACAACTATACTATAAAGTTCTTAAAAGATTTTATTTGGTCTGAACATTTTATTTTTTTGTAGGTTAAGTGTGTGGTAATAGTATTTTTAAACAGCAGATAATCTAATTAATTAATTACATTTTGCTTTATTTAATATACTATATGTAATTTTGGTATTTTCATACAGGTGCATATTATAAATTCTTATATGTAATGTTTTTTCTTATCTCTATAGATGGTGTGTTCCAATTGATGATAAAAGTCTAATTGTTGTCAAAATAATTTATTGATTCTTTTAAAAAATAACTTGATTTATAATGCTGGTTTAACTTGCCAATGGGCCTTTTAAATATATTGTTTTTGCCACTTTAATCTTTATCAAAATCTACCTACATTAATTTATAAGTATAGTAAATTGATAAAGATCTAAAGATTATGTTATCATTACAGCTCTCTGTGACTATCAACATGACTTAGGACATGATGCTGTTTTGATGTCATGGCTTGAAGAGTTCTATGCAAAATTAAACACACCACTAAAAATTGACCCAAGTATTGGAGTGACAAAGTTTGTTCCTCGTTGGAAAACAACAATAATTAAAAATAACATTACTATGATATCTGAATATGGATTAAATAAAGATATGTACTTTGGTAGTACTAATACTGATCACTTTGTCAATCCCATATACTTGGAAATAGAAAGTAATACTCGTACAACACATGAATCACATTTTCAAGTAAGTTGACCTCTGAAATATTGCTAAATCATTTATTTACAAACACTTGTTAATGTCTGAATAGTAGTCATATATTGATTTATTTATATTTAATGTTACAAGAGAATGTGGGTTAAAACATTGAAAAGCGTATGTGTATGGATACACAGTGTAAAACATTATATGTATAATTGTTGTTAATTTGTAAAAATATGGTAAAACAGACTAGATTTAACATTTTCTCTTCACATTCACATTTTTTTCTTTCCTTGAAGGATGTAAGATTACTTTCCTTTAAAACTGTAAATAAAGAAAAAATCAATTATTGTCCTGGAGATGTATTTAATATAAGACCACGAAATAGTAAAGATGATATTGAGGATCTCTTTGGAATATTTGAAACTCATAATATTGATATTAAACCGCATTACATGTTAAACATAGAAGAATATCATGAAGGTAAGAGACAATTTAGTTTTTCATTAAAATTACAATCTATGAATTATAAATTATAATAATAAAACATTACAATTTTATAACTGAGAGAACTATAATAATTACGAAAATAACAATTTGTGATGCTTAGTTTTTAAAACGCTTCTAGATATAAACAGTGTAGGTATTAATTACTTTGTAAAGTGAAATACGAATTATGGTTTTTATTTAAACTCATGATATAATCTATACTTAACCGTAACATATGCCAATGGCCTTTTGGCCTAAAGGTCTAGATACCAGGCCATAAACTCCAAAAAAAAAATGTGCCAATGGCCTAATACATTAATGAATTATCAACTCAAACTGTCAATTGTCACTGTCTGTGTAATGTCAGTTGGTCTTGAGACTTGAACATGTGTATTTTTATGTAGAAACTAGAATTATATGTTAAACATTTTACCGTGTTATTTGTTGTACTTGCGCAAATTCAAAAAGGATATAATCAGTAACAATCGATATGCTACGGAGGCAAGCGCGATTGCGCCGCGAATATTTGTACAGGAAGTCGGCAGAAGATAAACAGAAGAGTATTCAAGCTAAAAAAGATCAATTAAAAAAATGTTTAGAAGAGAATATTCCTATTCATGGAGACCTAAGGAAAGAAGCAATAGCTTTACAACAAAGATTAGAATTTGAAGACAAAGGTAGGATATCAATCTTGAATTAGGAGGATTTCAATTTTGTTAAATTGTAACCTCAAATTTATTTAAATGTTTATTTGTTTTTTTTTTAGCCTAGACTTATAAATGTTTTATCTCCAGGTCCAGAAAAATCTGCAGTAATCGGTGGCTTCAGTGGCGGAGCAAACACATTAAACTCTCAAGATGATGAGTATAGATATGCAGGTGTCGAAGATCCAAAGATTATGATTACAACATCCAGAGAGCCTAGTGCAAGGCTTAAAATGTTTGTTAAAGAGTTAAGGTTAGTAATTAACATTGTTAATAAAAAAAATGGTCTTGGGTCAAAATATTATTATTTTATTGTTAGAATGAAAACACCTACAACAAATTTTAAAATTTTCAGACTAATATTTCCTAACAGCCAACGTATGAATCGTGGGGGTTATGAAATGTCCCAACTCATTCATGCATGTCGAGCTAATGATGTCACAGATTTTATAGTTGTTCATGAACATAGAGGAGTACCTGACAGTTTGGTGAGTAGATTATGAAATCAATTTTTGATGGCTTTTCTTTCCTTTTCTTAAAATAGTATATTTGTCATAACATTTGATCACATTTTGGGCCCCAAATTCAAAGCTAGCAAAGCAAGGTTTTATAGTAACATATACTGTGAAAAATATTTTACTTGTCTGTATAACTTTCTTAACTTTATTAATTTAATGATATTACATTACATAAATATTATAAAACATGTGGATTTAATGATATTTTTATAATAAATGTTATGTTTCAATATAAATTGCAGGTAATATGTCATCTTCCCTATGGCCCCACAGCATCATTTACATTGTCAGGTGTGGTGATGAGACATGATATTCCAGATATAGGGCCCATGAGTGAACAGTACCCACACCTTATATTCCATAACTTTAAAACAGATCTTGGTATGTAGATGGTATTAAAATGCTTATATTCTTAACATGCTAGATGACCTAGCCCAATTAAGTATAAAAAACATCCTGCAGTTTTCAGTGATTTACAGTTAAAATGCATTATATATATTTTCTTATTGTTTGATCTGCCTTTTTACAAAATAAATTATATTTAATTTATTTATTTTGCAGGTAAAAGAACAATGAGTGTTTTAAAGTACCTATTTCCAGTACCTAAGCCAGACTCAAAGCGAGTGATAACTTTTGCCAATAACGATGATTACATCTGCTTTAGACAACATACACATAAGAAGGTAACTTTTATTTAAATTCCTGTTATAAGTGAAACTGCAATTAAATTTATGGTTATATAATAACTTATTTTTAAAATTATTTTTTCTAGTCAATATTAAAGTATGCCAAATGTTCACTTTTTCTTAATCTATTTTCTCTCCTCATATTTCTTTATTTGTTTGTGATATGTACTCAGAAACATACAAAACTCTCTTTTTGTTAATGCAAATTTTCTTTATCATCTATGAGATGTGTTATTCAAATATGTCATACTGTTTCACAGGTTGGTAAAGAAATAGAGCTCTCTGAAGTAGGTCCTCGCTTCCAAATGAAACTGTATGAGATAAAATTAGGCACTTTAGAAGCCTTGGAGGCAGCTGACACTGAATGGGCCTTACGCCCCTACATGAACACTGCTGCCAAACGACGATTCCTCAGTGACGAGGATGGATGGCAGGAGGAAGAATGACTTCAATAAACTTTTTTAATAAATCATGTCTTTTATTTATTAAAATATATTGAATAATTGAATTCCACTAGACAATTGGTAATAAACTTTAAAATAAGGCCTCAATTAGTTAAGGTACTAGAAATTACTATGATTAACATTTAACAATACAGTCAAAATTTGTTATAACGACATTGAAGGGTCTACTCATATTTGGGCGTAAAAACCGATTGTCGTAACACGATGACGTTGTTATTAAGTACCTAATACAATAGAATTCAGCCTTTGATTTTAGTCAATATAACCGGTATGTTGTTATATATATTTATACAGATTAAAATTCTGTATCTATGTTTATATAAGTTTGTTTTATTAAGGATATAAAATTAACCCATTCAATGTTTTGTTTTAGACATGCCAGTTCCTCAATTTCTTAAAAAACCCTTACCAATGTATGTGATAGCGGAACAGTATTGGGATTTAAAAGCATTTCCTACGCAATATGTATTTTCTCTTCTAGCTCTTATATCAGATGATAGGCTAGAGAGAGACAAATGTAGGGAACTTAGTTCTGCTGAGGGACAGGAAGAGTGGCTAAGTTATTGCAGGAGACCAAAAAGGACTATTTTGGAGGTATGCTTTCAGATATAGATATAAATATATTGCTTTTGCAGATACTTTTGAAACATTGGCACTTTATATGTAGTAATTAGAAAATGTAGCAGCATACCTACTTGCAGAAATTATAAGTTCAATCTATCATTGGCAGTATGAAAAATAAGTCAAAAATACTATCTGTTCAAAATGACTGGTCTGATAAATTGGACACATTGTGATTTGAAATCATAGATAGTTGGAACCAGTTAACAATAAATACCACTTTCAGGTGTTACATGACTTCCACATATCAGCATCAAATCTCACAATAGAAGTGCTATTTGAGTTGTTCTCCACAATTAAACCTCGCTCCTTTTCTATTGCAAGTAGTTGTTTACCAGCACAAGGTAATTTAGTTGTGACCTTTATAATGTTTGTATTTCTCGTTGACCAAGTTATTTTGATTATTTTAGTAGTAGTTATAAACTTAAGGAAACACCACATAATTACATGATAAAATATGTCGAGAGTAAGAAAGTCTCAACAAGTCAGATTTTAAGTGAATTTTTGTACTCCAGTGGGCAGGAGCCGTCCATAATTTAGAGATAATCTTCAATAATCTATACACATTCAATTATATATTTGTTTAGATTATATAAGATTACAACTGTGATTTTATTAAGACCAATATTCTAAGGTACCAGAAATTTTATGTTTAGTTTTATTTTATCAGGCATATTTATTAATTATTTTTTATGTTTTAACTTCAGGTTCTAAATTAGAATTACTAGTGGTTATTGTGAAGTATCAAACTAAAATTAAAAAACAACGCCTGGGCTTATGTTCCAATTGGTTGAAAGGATTAAATATAGGTGACAAAGTGTATGGTTGGATCAAAAAAGGAGTTTTTAAATTTCCTGCAGCGGTGAGCCTAGTTTTATTAATAATTTAAAATTAAATTTAAATGTTATAATAAAGGCAACCCAAACTTATGCATCTCCAATGTAATTAGGAAAATAGTAATACTGAATAATTATTATACTTATTAAAGATTTTTTTTTACAGAATATACCACTAATTCTAATAGGTCCAGGCACTGGCTTGGCTCCATTCCGTAATCTGATTCAAGAAAGAGTAGCTCTCAATATTGCTGATAAAAATATAATACACCTGTTTTTTGGCTGTCGGTATAGAGATGGAGATTTCCACTGTAGAGATGAGTTAGAAATGTGGCAGAAAAACAACAAGATTTCTCTATATTGTGCCTTTTCTAGGGACCAAGAAGATAAAATGTAAGTCTTTAAACCAGATAAAAAGTGATTTCATTACATTATTTACATATCTCAGTAGGATACCTAAGTCTCGCTAGGCACAACTTCTGTAGCACTCGAAATCTTGATATATGTTAATGATATAAAAAATATATGTATATCATATTTTATTTAATTAAAATTTTTTGTAAACACAAGCAGATGATCAGACTATGAGGTCAGATTTTCAGGTGATAAGAAGACATGGCCGTTTCCAGAAAAAAATTAAGTTTTTTTTTTTCAGATATGTTCAACATAAGATAGTCGAAAACAAAGATAAACTACACAATCTTCTGATAAATCAGGGAGCTTATGTCTTTATATCTGGCAACTCTAAGAATATGCCTAAAAACGTGAAAGATGCATTTGTTGAACATGTGTTGAAAGGAGTAGAAAATGCTGATAGTTTTATGGAAAATATGATTAATATTGGCAGATTTCAAACTGAAACTTGGTAATGCAGAATGTTAGTGAGTAAGAATACAATTCTTGATGCTGACAATTTGTTTATTTTATTACTAAAATTAAATATCAATAATAAGCTGTTGAACTTTGAGAGTTGTTTATTTTACACCTTAAATACTAAAACTATATTACTTATTAGACAACAATGTACTCATGATGCTTAAAAGTTTAAGAACAAATTTCATTGTGGGGATACAATTTCCTTTAATGAGAACACACAGTTTAAAAACTGTTGACTAAATTCAGATATCACCAAACAGTCATTATTTTTACTGTTACTAGCTATTACTCAGGCCCCATAATTTAAGATTACCAGCATCACGTTTTCTTTCTGAAGGTTCCTTATCTTCACATGCATAGGCAATTAAGTAACGAGAGGGATGCCATGCTACAGTAAATGTTGCTGCTTGAACAGGAATTTCTGCTACTTTTTCACCTAATAAAAATATTATTCTTAAGGATTAGTACCATTGCATAAAAAAATACTATAGTAAAAAATATATACATACCGGTTTCAGTATCACCAATATCAATTATGTGGTCTTCACTGGCTGAAGCCAGCAGTCGTCCGTCAAAACTGAAGGACAGTGTTCTGACTGGCCACTCTAATCTGAAAATAATTAAACAAACAGCCATAACATAATAACTGAAATACATTGTGTTTTTGAAAGAAACTTGGGAATATTACACACTTTATTCACAATATTGACATTTTTTTATATATTTCTGCTCTTAAAGCAAGACTGCAAAAGTTACCACTATATATATATTTTTTTTGTTTTTAAAATATAAACAAATTGTGACTGCTTGGTCACAGAGTTGTGTGTACACACCTAGAAAACACTCTTAAACATGCCAATTCATTGACATCCCACAGTGACACTAGGGCATCGGCTGAACCTGTCGCAAAATATCTTCCAGTGGGCTCATGCTCTATACAAATACATGTGCCTGGATGAGCTTTTAGTACTGTTTGTAGTTCTAGAGATGGATACCTACAACAATATAAGAACATATTGTCAAAAATTTGTCACCAAATTAACCTAAAGTTTAGCAGTTAATTAAAATATAACTATGCATTGGAAACCATAAATACTAAATACTTAAAAAAATTTTTTTATTACATATAGATGTTAAATAGTTGTAAAACTATGGAATGGTATAATAAAATGTGTTTCTATATTATTCAAAGCATCTTAATATAGGTAGGCTAATAAATATAATATACTCACGTTAATATATGTACGCAACCCAAACCATTTGTTAAGAAGAAAAGATCTGATGAGTTGTTCCATGAAATTTCATTGACTTCAAAGTTAAATTGTTCTTCTGTGACCTATAAAACATTAGAAGCATAATGAGAATCAAAAAGTTTAGTTAAAAATAACAGAATGCTAAAACCTTTTAATGCTTAAAAATAAACTATCATAACCAATGGAATGGCATCAAAAAAAACAAGAACTTTAATAGATTAAATTTCTTAGATTGCTATGTTAAATGAGGTAGTAATAATGGACTAAGCCTTAGTACTTACACTATGTTAAACAGTATTATAAAAAACTTACTACTTTATAATTACGTGCATCTATGAAGGAAACAAGATCTTCCTTATTGCCAACTGCAATTGTGGAACCGTTGGGTGACCAGGCAATATTTATATTCTCTCCTTTAGTTGATATTGCAGCTGCACATTTGTGTGATCTGTAATTGTTTAAATAAAGAAGAATTAGTTTGTGAATTCTATTATACATAACTGTCTAAGATATGACCTAGTGCTCATGCATCATTGCTTGTTGTAGAGGTATGAAGGGGCTTTGGTTATGACCACATAAAAAATCAAAACAAAGACATCTATGCCCTTACATATTTAAAATTTGTTACTTAATATGATAGTATATTATGTAAACAGATTTAAAGACCATGCATAGCACATTATCTTACCGAGCGTCCCATATCCTCACTGATTTATCGCCACTGGCTGTGCTAAGCAAATCAGGATGAGAGGCATGCCAGCACAATTGATCTACCGAACCTGTGTGTCCGCGAAATACGAAGTCTTGTACCTGTGAATTAAGCATATTTTATAGTAGCTTATGTGGTAGTGTTGGTATGAATACTATTAGTTGAAAAAAATCCCCAAATTGTAGCCGGTTATGAGAGATGTAAAGTTATAACAATTAATTTATTAGGTACTATTTCTTTATAATGCATATTTAATGTACACGAAAAACTTACTAATCTGTTTCTCTCTAAATTGAAAATTACAACAGTTTTATCAAAGGATCCTGAAGCTAATCGTCTACCATCGCAAGACCATCCAACAGAATGTACTTTAGATGTATGTGCAATGTATTCCCGCACTACATTGTGCGAAGCGAAATAATTACGAAGATCTTGTAAATCTTCTATTGGGGTTTGTCCTTGCTTAGATTCTTTCATTTTAATCGTTTTAAAATAAACAAAATACAGATGGAGGTTATTCTCAAAAGACAAAATACAAAAGCTTAAAAATTTCAAACATTATACAATAATCATACATGATGATGATACAGACGTTATGTATAGGATAACAATAATATTATTCTATAGTCTACTTTATAGACTATATACGGTTTCTTTGAAGTTGATTAAAAAACAAGTTGATTGCTCTGGAATTTACATAGATGAGTTAATAGTCAATATTCATGACCCTTATATGGGTTTTAAAACGACTTCCAAAAACCGAGGGTCCTCCACCTTCGGTTTTTTTAATTTTATCAATTCGACATGTACTTAATTTATTTATGTAAAGATGGCCCGGACCGCATCGGACCACCCCCCTAGACCAATCGGGATGATAGAGGTGCCAGATAATTCGGATTTGTTGCGAATACGTGCCATAGACAGGATTTTATAATCAGATTGATACTTTTCAGTATATTAACGTAAATGTCTCATGAAAAATTAGCACCGTTGCGTGATTAGTAGCTTATAAGTCAATGTTACATAATGCATTAACATAATATATCAATAAATGATTCGGTTTAGATTCACGATTAGGCAGGGCATGAATAACCATACTAATTATTATAGTTCCAGCGACATAGAGCATCTCACAAAAAGGTTATAAATTTCTGAAATCTATCATTTCGACCCAAATGATGGACCATAATTCTTATATGTTGAAATACAATCATAACTTAGTATGTTAACATGAGATTAACATACTTTTAATTTTTTTTAGTTACATGAAAATCAAAGGTACTATTAATTAATGTGTGGAATGAAAACGTCTTAGCGAAGAACAGTGGAGGACGCGAATCTTATTGCGGTGCTGGGTCTTAATAACTCCTTATTAAACAATTTTATATAAATAAATTATAGATAGGTAGGAGAAGGTATAAATTAAATTTAAATACGTGTTATAGTCATAGCGATATTGACGATTATTCGGAAAATAATAAAAAAAAAAAAATTGTCTGTCCACTCCAACAGTCCGTCAAATTTATACATGGTATTTTACTTTTGTTTAATAGTTAACAAAGTTTCATGTACATTGGTAGGATACATTCCAACAAAAAGAAGAAAGATCTCAACAGAAGAAACCATTAATTCTAGCTTAAAAATCACGACACCGCGCGACACCAGTAGAGGGCATATAAATCCACTGTAAAAGTATAAATCGATGTACGATACTTTTTTCTATTTTGTAATAATGTGGGTATAGAATTTGGATTGTATAAACGGCATTAAGCTGAGTTATATGGTTTTTCGCGATATAGAGGTTTAAATCAGAATTTAGTGGAAAAGTGTCAATCTTGACTTTATTCATAATTATCTAAGGCCCCATCTAAAGCGGGCCATAGTCGGACCGCATGTTGCAGTCAAGATCGACTGCAATACGCGGTCGCCGCACGGCGATCTGCAGTTTCCATACTAAATTCATATCCGCAATACACGGACCGCTCGAGCAGTTCCTGAGCAAACCGCATATTGCAGTCGGTCTTGACTGCAACATGCGGTCCGTCTATGGCCCGCTTAAGTAAAATGTTTATGCTTTATAATAGGTACTTTTATTTCATTTCCATAAATATAGGCTTACTTTATGTAAATTTCAGTGAAGTTTGGGGCCTTAGTATTGGTGGATTACCTACCACTTTAATTCTCAAACTCCTTCAATTGTGAAGAACAGAAGTATGTATTTACATCGACTAAATATTTAATAAGTAAATAAATGTTTTTGTACATGAATATACCTACCTACCACTTGCATTAAATCTTATCTCGCTATTTATGGGATAACAATGAATGATACCGTAGTCACCATATTAGAAATAAAAGGAAATGTTTCAGATCACATAATGTAACAGAACTGCGTAAGAATAGTAGCCACTAAGAAAAAAATCATTTTTCGACTGCAAGCGAAACCTAACGCCCATCCAAATTGATTCTTTCGAATTACTACCATAGAACAGATAATTTACAGTTATATTTTAAACAAAATCACTTTTGATATACTAGGGATTAAAAATGAAACTCGCATCTCTATAGCGAATAATTTATTAAAATAATTCTCTCCATTTATAATAACTCAATTTTTATCCAGCATTTCCTTGAATGTACTCACGACGCCACACTTTTAACTGAGTCAAGAAGTATAGAACAGGAGAGAGCCAAAACGCCGTGATAAACGCCATGTGAGCTAGCTTTTCCTTAAAAATTTAAAGTACATTTAGGAATCATTGCAAAATATTAAGATATCTATAGAAAAGCTAATATACTTAATAGGTAACGTATTTGGCTAATTAGGATACATTTGCAAAAGCTTATTAATACCAAAGACAGTTAATACTCACTCCATGAGAACAACGGACCCTCGGAGGCCCGGATATAGTTAGCCCTGTCTGTGCAAAACTACGTTTAGGCACATGAAACTTTGATTTCCGTAAAAGGATTGATAAGTTAAAAATGTTTTTTTCCACCATCCTTAAATTAAATGCTATCATTCAATGTGTAACCTTCACACACCTGGCAAATAATAAATTTTTCAGTAGAAGCATTAATATTTTTTGACAATTTTATTTTGAAAACAGAATTCAGTTTTTTCAACTTATCTATATAGGTAGGTTTTATATAAGTAATACAAGCTGGATACATATCACACTTTACTAATAAAGTTACACAAATTTATATATTAAGGCATATTATTTAACTCTAGTTATAGCGTCTATCGCGCGTTTCCTAACTCGCAATCCTTCCTACCTACACACTTAAACTAATTGGACCAAAGTTCAGCTATCGTAGACAGCTTCAGTTCATATTTTATAATAAAAAAAGCATGTGTGTGTACTTATCTAGTATCTACACAAGTTATAACCCTTTGGCGTAACAAGATAAATCTTTTAAAATTTTTGTCTATCACCTTACTCTACGTTTGTATAAAAAACGACACAACAATAGAAAAAAGGTGATTAATAAAAATTGAAAGTTTTATAATAACGCATTATCTAGTTAAATAAAGTTTATTTAAATATCACAAAAAAAAAATCTACATAATTAAAGAAATTTATATTTTTTATTTTAAAATGTTGACTATCCTAACTTCTGGGTGTCGGTTGTTTGTGACGGTGTGCGCGCGCATCGTAAAAATTTACTCTCATTATTTTCCCTAAGATGCCAAAAGAAGTATAACTTCAAATGGAAGGAACGTTTGCTTGTCTGGCTCATACTCTTACTGTTGTTACTATATTATATTAAGATAATGAACTCCTATTAATGAAAAAGTGCTTGGCCGCATATTAATCGTTATTATATGAAAGTAACAGAAAAATAAATCACAATATAATTAACAAAAACTTTATTCAATGACTAGAAAATAATAAAAAATTGCAGTAACAGAAACAGATGGTCCTTTAACTACAGTTATTTTATCTTGCTATAAAAAACATGAATATGCAATTCCCACCAACATTTTTTTATTATAAAAGTCACCTAACATAGTTTCTATTACCTACATCTTTTGCAATAAGTTTTTCTATGTGGTACATTGTTCTATAAATTAGAAAAGGGCATGAGTCTATAATCATAGAACAATGATGCAGGACAAATGTAAAACTATGAGGAAAGCTTTGATAAAGATTCTTATTAAATGGCACATGATTAGCGCGAGGCCCCATGTTGTTGAACCAAACTACCCAATACGGAAATTCTTTTAATTCTTTTGTGTCCCCACAAAATATTTTTTCCCCAGTTTTGGCTGTTAATTTAGATTTATCTTTTTTAATTTTTTTAGCTGGTGGCTCATCGCATTCTCTTATTTCTTTGCTGAGTATATTTTTTACGGCTTTATTCAATTCCGTTATACTTTTACCATTTAGAATATCAGAATCTGAAAGTATGGGTGGCAATGTGTAATCATCATCACTTTCATCAGTTGATAATTCTTTATCATCAAGACTATTTTCCAAAAATTTTACATCTGAATCTTCCATTATCCCAGTTGCATTTGGTTCAATGTTATCATCAAGAAGCGTCGTATTGTGAAGCCTTATACTATCATTATTTATACTAATGTTATTAGAAACATTTTGATTCGGAGAAGGGCCTACATAACTTTGTTTATTGGTTTCTTCCTGCAAACGTTGATAATATAGCGATAACAAGTTATAATTGTTAGTATTTTCTTTTTTTTTCTTTTTTGGGAGGGATGAGGGATTTTTCCGTTCCGGGGGTTTAGATAATTTCCTTGTTCTTACGGGTTTGATGTTATGTTTTTGATACGCAATATTTATAAGTTCATCTATGATAGCTTTTCGATCGAAATTCTGAGGTAAATCGTAAGGTCCGTGAAGTTTTGAAACTGCCGTTAAATTTGTTGAGTTTTCCGCAGTGGATTCTTCAGGAGAAAATGTATTAAGTAAAGTTTCCGGCTGTTGATCAACTGACACTTCCTTTATTATTTCTTTTAATTCAGTTTTATCGTCTTCATCGTATATACACGCATTTGGATAATCAACAAATTTTATTGTTCTCTCATTGCTTAAGATAATTTCTGATGACTCTTTATTATAGTCTTCATAACCTGTTTCAGTAATGGTAAATTCCTTATTGAAGCTACTTTCGTTCATAGTCGCATTTTTATTTTTTTCTGATTTCAGTAAATTATACTCATCGTTATCGCAAAATTTAACAAATACACTTACATTTTCACTTTCCCTAGATGTCTTATGGAATGTTGCCATGCCATTGGGACCTACCGGATTATTTATTTTGTTGTCTAAAGTTACTCCTTGAATAATATTTCTTTCTAGGCTATTTTCTTTTAAACTCAAATATTTTGTAACATAATCAAGACTATATTGAGTAAAATCTTCACTAAGCACAAGCCGTATGTCTGGATCTTGCAAATATTCTAATATTACATTTGTTGCTGATGTCATTGGAATGTTAATCAGATTAAATTCATCTTTAGGTATAACAGATACTTTGTCTTCTATTGGAATCTTATTAATTATCTCCATAGATATTTCTTGTCCTAAAGTCATTTGATGTTTCTTCCTTTCTTGAAGATGTTCTAAAAATACATATTCATCAGCAATCTGGGTCTGACAGTAATTATCCATGAATAAATTATGCTTGCATACCACCATTTTTCGTGTTCTAAGATATGCACACCAGTCTTTAAAAGAAAACAGTCTTTGTGTGCTGCCAGAGTTTGTGTTTATGTTAAATGCCTTAGGGTAATTATTTTCTTCATTAATTTTATCAACTACATCGGTAAGCCTAACTTCATAGTCAGAGTCTAAGCCAAAACACATTTTTAGCGCTATTACTACATAAGCCATACAGATAGTTTCAAAATCAGCAATAAATGTGAATTCTCTGATTTGCTGGCTGACTTTAAAGTATCTACATGGGTAGTGGTGTATCAATGACTCTATGAAGCACTTAAAATCATTTGGCAAACAGAGCTCTGTCATAAAATCATCAATAATTTTTCTTATATCTGGTATTAAAGGTAAACCTAAATCAAGGTTATTAAAGAGACTATTTACAATAGTACAAATTTGTGTAGTGGAATATTCATTCCATAATGAGTTTCTAAACCTTAAAAAATGTGGGATTTTTCTAACATCCAGGTCTTCAGGAACATATTTTGTACAGTTTTTAATATTAATTTGCTCACTCTTTAAGAGTCTTTTTAAATGAGATAAGTGAATATGACTTCTATCCAAATTTAAAGCAATATAGAATATAGCAATTATAACACCTTTTCTCATTGGGTGAATTCTGTACATATTTCTTATCTTCTTTTCATTTTTTAAACTAAACTCGTCATGCTCAATACTATTTTCATCATCTGATGATATGGAAACTTCTTCATCACTATCAAGAAGAAATTCATCATCATCATCTTGGGAAACATTATTATCCTTACTTCTATAGCTATTATTTGCTTTGCACTGTTTTTTATCTTGCATACGTAAATTGCAATCATCCTTTTCGTCATCTTTAGAAGTAATTGGGCAACACATTTTATTGTCTTTAAGAGCAAATGATTTTATTGCATTCAAATTATTGTTTTCTTTTTCTTTATTATGTTTAGATAAATAGTTACAATCTGTTTCTGTATGATCTTTGTGCTCATTACCGAAGAACTCTCCCAAAAGTCTGTAAAGATAACATATTAAACATTATCAAGATAAACAAAGATCTTGGCTAGATATCATTAATTGAGCCTATTCAGCTATTCAATTACATATAATTAAGCATATTTTGCCAAGCGAGCGATCTCCCCAACCCGGCTGGTCCCCGTGGGGAGTTAGACCAAAACCCTCCAACATTGATCTAAAATTAATAAAATTAATAGTAGTTATATTTACTATTATAACTAGCTATTACCACACTAATAGTTATTAGTAGTTATTGACCATTTGGCAATGAATAGAAGCATGATGGGGAAAAAAAAACTTTCTGACAGAATAAACATATTATCAACAATAAAAAATTACACAAAAACAAAAGACTATAACAATTAAAAAACTAAAATGGAAGTGGGCTAGAATGGAAGCAAATCATTAATGCATTGGTACACAGGTCACATGAAGAGCAAAAGGGGTAGACCATTCCTAAGGTGGATTGATGAAATAAGAGCCGTGGCAGGTGGCACATGGACCCGAACTCCCCAGGTCAATAATTTATGGTTGCATTTGGAGGAGGCCTTTGCCAACAAAAGGCAAACAGACAAGGTTGTCGAGGGAATGTAAATATTCAACTATATTTAAGTTAATTTTTTTCAATACTAAACATTTATATTCTAGCTTAAGTAAAATTGTATCTTGTCTGAATAAAGGCTTATATTATTATTATTAAGCATATTTTGCAAATCAGTATGGTTTTGAGTTTTACAGATTACATACTCAGTCTGCTTGACCTGATACTTCTTAATATATCTTGTCCAAATCCATAGAATTTTGTTTCTTACACTTGGTTTAGCACCAGCGGCAATCAATTCATCTGTTAGTCCTGATAAGATAAAGTTATATGCATGCCATTTGTACCACTCGGAACTCACTGAAATACAAATAAAAATTTATCTTATAGAAGTTGTAAGAATTGCTTAAATATGTAACAACTGCATCTTAAAACCTTAAGTTGCTAAACTAATTTAAATAAATTCAGTTGACTTTGTGTGCTTTGCTTATGAGGAAATTGGACCCAAGTCTAGGTCTACACAAAATAGAAAAACTAAAATTTTTAAGGCCAACAGCCTTCATTAAAAAAATAATGGGAAAATTGAACATTTCAAAATATGACAGATTTCGCTTCTAGCACATGACTATGTCTCCTTGTTTGTCTCTTGCACTACAAAGGGTAACAGTTTGAATACCATCGCACTTTTTTTGACGATACTAATTATTTAGGAGTCTCAGGACCTTCATTGAACACCTCCAAGTGAGTTTTGCTCCGGAAACGCGTCAAAAATTTTATAAAGATTTATAAAGTAAACTTTCACTTAAAACTAATTACCGCTAGTTAGCATAAACCACATTCAAGATGGCCGATTAAGTTTATAAAATTAATAGGGATGTGAAAAATAAATTTTTTTAAAAGTGAAAATCGATTTTTGTATTCGATTTTAATATTAAAAATAATTGAAAATTCGGCGACCAAATATTCATATACTAACTCTGACCTAACCAATCTAAATAATATTTGTTTTTGTGGACAGCTCCGATCTAAATAGTAATTGTTTATTCAAGCCTCGGCTCGGCTCTCGGCGGTCCTGAGGTCGCCTTCGGCGACCAAATATTCATATACTAACTCTACCTAACCAATCTAAATAATATTTTTTGTGGACAGCTCCGATCTAAATAGTAATTGTTTATTCAAGCCTCGGCTTCTCGGCGTCCTGGTCGCCTTCGGCGACCAAATATTCATATACTAACTCTAACCCAACCAATCTAAATAATATTTTTTTTTCTACAGCTCCGCATCTAAATAGTAATTGTTTATTCAAGCCTCGCTTCTCCGGGGTCCTGAGTCGCCTTCGGCGACCAAATTATTCATATACTAACTCTAACCTAACCAATCTAAATAATATTTGTTTTTGTGGACAGCCTCCGGCGCGACCCCTGAAATGCAGCCCCTCCACCCCTTGCGTATTAAAGCACAGGCATTTTATTCAAGCCTCCGCCAGCCCCCCCCACCCCTCGGCTTTTTTGGTCGCCTTCCGGGCGACCAGCCTCACCCGGCCCCGCCACAGCTTTCATAATGCCTGTGCTTTGTTTCAGCGGGTGGGGCTCGCCCTCCTCCTCCGCGCCTCCGATTATTTATATACACTCTAGGGGTAAGACAGACAAGACCACGTGGATAGTGGGGTGCTCTGATTCGGTTTTGGGTACTTTTTGATATTAAAGTAAACACTTTATTCTAGTAAAAATTAAATAATATAGAAAGTTGCAAACAATGAAATACAAGTACTAATTAGAAAATACAGACAAGTAGGTATCGATAATTTCAAAAAATTTCGGCAACCCCCTATAATCTATCAACACGAAATTAGGTTAATTTCAATGTTGATTATTCTATAACTATAAATTTCAAAAATGAGGAAATAATCGATAAATAAATAAAACGATTATTAACAATCGATAAATTAAAAACACGATTTTTTTAGTGAACGTCACATCACTTATAACCAATAGAAAAGTAGAAAATGGCGGATTGTTTACAAATTTTAATACATTACACAAAACTTTAAATTTTTTTAAAAATATTTAGACGCGTTTCGGGGGCAAAACTCACTTGGAGGTGTTCCAATGAAGGTCCCCCCGCTCCCCGACACTCCTAGATAATTAGTATCGTCAAAAAAGTGCGGTGGTATTTAACACCCAACCCCTACAAAGTGACTTAGCAGCCCATCATCATCAATATTTTACGTAATAGTCATAAAACAAATTTTAAAGTTATCAGCACACCTTGCTTTTAAACTAGTATAGTGCGCAACCAAGAGAGAAATAAATGTAGCATCCTTACTTTCCACTTCATCATTTTTAGTGTTATATATTTTCTTAGTGGTGTATTTAGCATGAGTGCCATCAGTGAAGACAACAGTTTCAACTATACGTTCTTGAATATTTTGGTCCTGCGTACCACACTCAACACAATAATAAAAGCCATCCACAAGATTTAAATCTGTGCCGCCACATACATTACATGCACTTGATTTCATATTTGGTAATATATTACAAACTAAAAACTATTAGGTCTGAGGTCATCGGTTATGAAAACCACGTGAAATTAACTTAAAAATTGTGTTTTATGTATTGACTATTGGCCTTGGGTTTTCAAAAACAGCTGGCAAGTGGCAACTGGCAATGGGCAAAAATTGGCATATGCTAAATAGCACAGACTGACGATTGTGATACATAACGTAAACATAAACGATAAATCCGAATCATAAGATATTATCTTATAGACTGCAAATAATTAATTGAAATAGGTATATAAGGATTAAATAAATACTATGACATAAATATAATATTTTTGCTTTCTGAATTAACTCTAGATTCGAAAAATTCTCGTCATTTTCATTAATGTTGTTTTCACTTTTACACATTCGTTTTATTAATGAGGTGAATTATTAAACTGTTGATAGGTAAATACTTCGAAGAAGAAACATTTCGTTGTAAAATCAAAGATTGGTTGTTGTTATAACATTTATTAAACGTATTTTTACTTATTAACCGGCTTTATTAAACCCGAAGGAATAGGTTTACAAGTCGTCGGAAATATCTGCGAACCTGGCTTAATGACGTCATACAAACTGGAGAGATAGCAAAAAAATTGAAGATGTAAAAATAAAAAATATTTTATTTGTGTACTTATTTTTATTGATACTCGTACCTACCCATCTTACATACAGCACTAAATAGGTAGTTTATGTAATATTTCACCAAACAGAGAAACAATAAACACTAAAATGCGATTACGAAAGCAAGAATAATACACGTGCGGCGTCGGCGATTGCGTTGGCAACGGTACTGGATAGGCGAAAACGGGGCGGGGTGCGGGGGCGCCAGGGGAAGCGCATTCCAGCGAGGTTCGCAGATATTTCCGACGGCTTGTACAATTATTCAATATGTAATTTTTAGGATTTGCTAAAGGGATGCCATAGAAAATAGAGTGTGTCCATGTCCATGTCCATAGGGTATGCCACTTGTATTGACTGTCAGTTGTCACTTTTCACAAATCTGGCATTAGCATTTGGCATTTACCACTATCCAATATCCATTGGTGACTAGACCTACTTTTACGAGCTCATTGTGAGTTGTGAACAAATTGTGAATTGTATCAATTTATGTGTGGCCTATTGGTGCCGTCGTCAAGTTGATGCTTTCGCGGGGCGTGTTCTTTAAATCCTTTAATTGAAAGAAAGAGGCCGGCTAACCTCACTCGCGGGGTTTATTGTATCATAACCAGTTAGCAGTTGTAAATTTAAAGGCTTCAACTCTGTGGACCGTCACACCCCTGTGAGAAAACGGTAACTAGTTGTTGTGTGTTGGAAGGGTTGTGACTTGTGCGTGATATCTGTGTGCATTTAACAATTAGCTGACGAAAGCTAATGTTGTGTAGTGTTGAGTTCTTCGTGTGATCTCTTGTTGTTCATTGATGGGCGGCATTTCGCACGCGTCGAAGGCGGCAGATCGGCCGCATAGGCGGATAATAACTTCCTGGAGGGTCTACGATAAAATCCGCCACACTGGAACTGATGGAATTAGAAAATATCGTAGCCAACACTGTTTACTTGAAAGCCAGAGAGGGTACGTACGTAACTACTTATTTAAAATTTAAATTATAGATGCGAATAATTCATGAGCGTGGATTCTGTATGCAAAATATTTTGTTATGTGTTTACGACGTAAGCGAGATAGTTCAATGCCCTTATAATCGTGTAACCGTGTTAAAAGAGAGCAATCAATTAATTACATTAATGTACCGCGTTATCTCGACGCGATGACCGTAACGTTAACTCATGCGTCTATTATTTACCTCAAGATAAAACATTGTTTTGTTTTGTCTAACCTCATGATTGCATAAATTTAAATAATTTATTATAGCTAAGATTCTTAAAACCATAATCTTCACTCCTACAACTTGTTATTATCTTGGCTACATTTGCAACTAAGACATATTCATATGCATTATATACAGACATAATTATCATTTTATAATTTCATATGATTTATAATTGTGATAGTAAAAATTTAAATAAATAATTTATTTAAATTTGCATATTTTACTCTTAATTATCTTCTTTCAATATATGTCAAGCACACTAAAGATTGTAATGGATTTTCCCAAGTTTTTTCTAATGAGAAGAGACAAAAAAAAACCACTATACCTTACCTACCATATGTCATAGACCACATAGCAACAGTATTTTATTTTTCATCTCTTTATAAAACATAAACATCTCACTACTCATAATTATTAAAATTGTTAACGATTTTAAAATACAATGTTCATAATATAGATAAAAAGCCTATAAGAACAATGTGTCCAATAATCACCAATCAAACACTATTTACATCATCTTTCAGACATCCCTATTTATATGTTTAATACAAACAATGTTATCAATTTGCATTCATAGCACTAAACCTTACATCAACATGCAACAGATAGTTGAATACAGAGATTAACGATAATCATAACAAGTCATTAAAAAAAAAGTACCATTGATTTTATTATTAAAGATATGATATGGACCACAGTGTAATGTTCGTAGTTCCTTACAGGCATCTAAATAAATTATCAATAAAAAGAGTGAAGGAGAGTTTATTGACAGTTCTTCTCAACTGTACTACTGAAAACTTTCAATGTTAATATCATATTATATGTTAGAATCATAATTTTTTTGATATTCATAATTGTAACTGCCACTATGTCATACTTAACATAAAGTTTTATAAAATATTTTTAATTGATATACATAATATTTTATATCATAAGTTTTTTTATACAACTGTTATTATGTTATGTCTTAATATTTATCTAATTCCAAACCACCTGATATTAAATATAAAAAGAAATAAAGATAAATTTTATATTTAACAATACTATTGAACAGTTTTATAAGAACAAGAACTTTAAATATTTTTTCAACAACTTCAGTTTCTTGGTATAAAGTTTTTTAATAAATATTATATTTTCCTTTACTTATTTGTGTGTTTTGAATTAGTTCCAATTACTATTTAATTTGATATTGCTATTTATATTATAAAAAGTAAAAGCTACAAAAAGGTGTTGTGTTTTAAAAAACATCTGTTAAATATTTTAATTTAAAAAATGTTATCCTATAGGCGCATACTTGACGAATCATAGTATAAAGGAATATTAGCTGAAACACCCCGAGGCCTGGCTGGGGTTAATTAAAGGGTAAAATTAATTTGGCGCTGTTCGTCTAACGATACTTACTCCCTTATTTAACAAGGTCAAACGTACAATCTGTTCAGTTTTGATTAAATAATGAGGACTAGCTGACTGCGATCACGACTGTGTGGAATATTGATTAAAACATTTTTTTTTAAACTAAATAATTTTTATTGCGACGGCAACAAAACTCGTAGCACAATTTTCAGTCATAATTTTCAAAGTTTAGTTAAAATATTGATTTTTTTAACTTCGTGACTTAATGCAAAAAAAACGTACACGTAACACTTACAGTACACGTAAAAGTGAATTATTAAAACGGTAACGAGCTTAGCTCACATACAGTATATTTTAGGAAATATTAATTCACCGGAATCCAAGTTAATCCCACAAAAATATTGTACTAACCCTAAGGGTCATCATTCTAATGTCTCCGGATGTTCTTTACATAAAAGAAAACGTATTTAGAGTACAAGTATTGCATAAATCTAAATAAAAAGCAGATCTTCTCAGTTTCAAAGAGATAAACAGCTTTCCTGAAACTTGGAATCCAAATCCGATTTCGATCAGATAGCATCGGACAAAAATCAAACGAATAAAGTCAATATTATAAAACGTCAAGTAATTTAATAAACAATTTTTTTCTCTATGAAGCTTAACGTGTTTGAGGCTGCTCAATGTGTGTTAAAGATATGTTTTAAAATAGTGTCAATCTCGTGAAAAATTGGAATTAGCATATTATTTTATTAATTAATTTCTTTGTATAACCTTGATTTAAACAAAAGCCTTATAAAATATTAAAATACTATTGTGTTAGGTATATGATTTTCAACGAGTTCGAGAGTTGAATGTATGACGCGTAACCGTAGTATATGTATTTCTATATACATAGTTTTATTAGAACCAGATCGAAACTGTTTTTCATATCAATGCTTTTATCTAGACATCGTAAAGTACCCTTCTCCACATAGTGTAATGTGTACATTGCTCTAATTACACGAACTAGAGGCCAAGATCCAGTTTGTATTGAAATTTATTTCAATTATAAATCTTGCTGTGTTTACGTAATACCGTTGCGTCAATACGTTGCGCAAGCGATGTCTTTGTTTAGAGATATATTGAACTAATTTCGATAATTGCTTTAAGAATTTGATTAAGGCAAAATTAGTAGCTTAATCCATAAAGAAAACAACTTCTAACAAACAATAACAAGTAAAAACCCAATTGTAATATCTTAATAATGTCCCGCCTGCTTGGGGCTTCATTTTGTATGACAGTCTGTTCTCAGGCGAATTAAAAAGAAACTAATCTTTTAGTAAGGTATCCACAAATCGATCTTTGTGATCATGAGCATCATCACAACGTGCACCAAATATTGCTTCCTGTTAGCATTTCGCCTAATACCTACTTAAAATTTTAAGATTTTAAATACTGTATATTATTAAAATAATGTCTTTAAAAAATATAAACAAATACATTGTTTATATTTTTTTAAATTAATAAATATAATCATTGTGTAAGGATCAATAAACGAAATAATAAAAAAACACTATAAATAAATGAGATTCAATTGTTTATTTGATGACCTCTGAAATTACATCAAAAATTGTTTTGTTCTCAGGCGGTTCCGATAGCAACAAGGGCAAAAGCAAGAAATGGCGGAAGATACTTCAGTTTCCTCACATATCGCAATGCCTAGACATAAAGACAACAATAGGTAAGTGCCTATTTCCTCTCTATATATCTCTACATTAAACGCCTTCACAATCCGTAATATTATGTAACTTGGGTTAGTTC